CACGCCCTTTTCACGCAAGATCGCAAGCCATCAGAAACGGTGCAAGCAACAACTGCGTATTATGCACTGTGATACCGTGACGGGGGCCTCCGCCTGATCGAGAAGGCTTCGTGTGGGTGATGTGTGGGGTGGAGGCCTGAAGGATGAAGCGAGGGGCAAGCGTGCTCCACGGAGAGGTGACTGTGAGGTGTCTGGTGAGGACCAGTGCTGGCGCGGATGGTGGGGGGGGCTCAGTGGGGCAAAAGGGGCTTGCTGCCAAGCCTGATGACCTGGGTTCAATCCCCAGCACCCTCACGGTGGAAGGAGAGACGGTCGGCGTATTGGACATCACAGACTGCTTCAGAACGGGAGGGGTGGCCAACTTGTTATCATCGATTTTGAGAGAGGTTGAGTAAAATGAAGATAGACGTCTCTTAGATTTTGTGGGGGATAGCTGGGTGTTGGTGACGCACGTCTTCTATCCTGGCACTCGGGAGGCAGAGGCAAGCGGATCTCTGTGAGTTCGAGGCCAGCCTGGTCTACAGAGTGAGTTCCAGGACAGCCTCCAAAGCAATACAGAGAAACCCTATCTCAAAAAGAAAAAAGAAAAAATTTTGTAGGGGAACCATAGTGGGGAGTTGCTTGGCCATCTTGACCGTGGTGGGGAAGCCAGTTGGAGCAGATTGAGGCACGTGTGCTTGCAGGATCGGGAAATCGTGATGGAAAGTGCAGTAAAGTATGGTGATGTCAGGCAAGGATTTGTTTTTAATCACAGGCCGTAACTCTCAGACAAGTCCTACATGTGCAGCCCAGTGAGCCGTACATGCATACGTTTAGCCCCAACCCAGATCAAGGTACAGGATGGCCCGGGAATCTCCCCTGTGTCTCCTCTGGTCTGTGGTATCCCTAGCTGTGAGCCCATCCTGTCTCCTAAGAGCACAGATTAGCTCTGCCTGCTCATGCGCTTCGCACAAGTAGCGTCTTCTAGAACATCATCTTTTTGTGTCCGGCGTCCTCTGCTTGGCGTACGCACGAAATTCATCCGGCAAAGAGGAATGTTTTCTTGTTGCTTAATTCTCTGGTCTGTCTCTGCCGATTGAGCTGCACTTCGGCTAATGTAAATAGGCCTTTGAGCAGCCAGCAGTGTGTGGTGGTGTGCGTGCCTGTCATCCCAAAACGTGGGAGGCTGGGGCAGGAGGATCAGAATTGTCAAGTCGTCCTAGACTACCTAGTAAGACCCTTTATCAAAACGACAGCGGTTTAGGAAAAGAAACAGGATAACTCAGTGGTTAGGAATAATTGCTGCTCTTGTGGAGGACCCGGGTTTGTTTGTTTTAGGTGTGTGTGTGTGTGTGTGTGTGCGCGTGTGCGAGTGCGCACACAGACATGTGGAGCCCAGAGTTCGACACTGGTGTCTTCTGCTTTTCTCCGCCTTATTAAGACAAGGTCCTGAACCTGGAGCTCACCCTGACTGCTGTCCTGCCCCATCTGCTCAGCTCTGCTCTCACAGGCATGCTCTGTAGTGCCTGGCGCTTACACGGGGTTGAGGATGGAACTAAGAGTCTAAGGCTCACACACACTTTACCAATGGGCCCATCACCCAGCCTCTCCCTCTCTCTCTCCTCTCCCTCTCTGTTTCCCTCCCTCTCTCTCCCTCTCTCTCTCTCTCCTCTCTCTCTCTGTCTCTCTCTCTCCCAATGGCCCAGTCATCACCCCAGCCTATCTTTCTCTCCCTCTCTCTCTCCCTCTCTCTTTCTCCCTCTCTCTCTCCCTCTCTCTCTCTCCCTCTCTCTCTCCCTCCCTCTCTCTCCCTCTTTCCCCCTCCTCTCTCTCCCTCTCTCTCTCTCTCTCTCTCCCTGTCTCTGCCTCTCTCTCTCTCTCCCAATGGGCCAGTCATCACCCCAGCCTCTCTTTCTCTCTCCCTCTCTCTCTCCCTCTCCCTCCCTCTCTCTCTCTCTCTCTCCCCCTCTCTCTCTCTCTCCTCTCTCTCTCTCTACCAGTGGACCAATCATCACCCCAGCCTCTATTTTCGATTCTTCCTCCCCTTACATTCACATTCCTGTTTACCTCACACGTTTCTCCCAGTCTGTGAATTGTCTTGTTTTCTTACTGATGTCATTTGATGACCAGATGTTTTCAATTCATGAGCCAGGCATACAACTCCGTGGTAGAGCCTTTGCCCGGCATGTTCCATCCTCGACACGGAGGGAACAAGTCAGGGAGTGAAGTTATCACTTCCAACAAGGTCCGCTGTGTTCGTTCTTCTGCGGTTAGGTTTGGCCACCTCACTTAAGCAATTTTCACTCACTCCAGTCATATTTTTTTCTGTGTTGCTATGGGAACCTTTGCTTTCCCTTCTGTAGTTTCTGTATTTGGACATAAGGTAGAGACCAATTCTTTTTGTTTCCCCTATACGGTTCTTTACTTTTTTTTTTTTCTGAGACAGGGTTTCTCTGTCTAGCCCTGGCTATCCTGGAACTGGCTCTGTAGACCAGGCTGGCCTCGAACTCACAGAAATCCACCTGCCTCTGCCTCCCAAGTGCTGGGATTAATGGCGTGCACCACCAACACCTGGCTCCAGCTTGGTTCTTTAATTGATGCAACGTTATTTATTTATTTGATTTAGTTGTTATTTTATTTTTGTGTGTATGAGTGGTTTGCCTGCCTGCATGTCTGTGCACCAGTTGGATGCAGTGCCTGTAGAGGTCAGAAGAGGGCGTCAGGTCCCCTGGAACTGAGTTACAGAGGGTTGTGAATCACCATGTGGGTGAATGCTCTTAAGCCCCAGCCATCTCTCTGTTTAGTTGTCAGAGTATCTTAGCCATTAATCAGCCATTAATACAGATGGGTCCTTTTCTGAGTCCTTCTCCACCCGTATGCCCTGACACTTCTGTAAAGCTCGGTATTTGACAGTTTTTTAATTGGAGATATTTGAGTTCACTAAAAAAATTAAATGGCGGAGCCGGATGTTGGTGCCACATGCCTTTAATCCCTGCACTCAGGAGGCAGAGGCAGGTGGATCTCTGTGAGTTTGAGGCCAGCCTGGTCTACAGAGCGAGTTCCAGGACAGCCTCCAAAAAAATACAGAGAAACCCTGTCTCGAAAAACTAATAATAATAATAATAATAATAATTAAAAGGCAGGACTGGAGAGGTGGCTCAGCTGTTAAGAGCACTGACTGCTCTTCCAGAGAACCTGGATTCAATTCCCAGCACCTACATGGCAGCTCACAGATCTGATAATCCTCACACAGACAGACATGCAGGCAAAACACCAATGTAAATAAAATAAAAATAATAAATAAATTGTTTTTAAAAACTACTTTTGAAAAACAGAAAGGCAATACTCTTGGGACCCTTTTCCTCGGAGTGGGTTGCCCTGTCCAGCTTTGATATGAGGGTTTGCACCTCGTCTTATTGTAACTTGTTATCCTGTGTTCAGTTAACTTCCCTGGGAGGCCTGCTCTTATCTGAAGGGAAACGGGAGAGGAGGAGAGGATTTGGGGGAGAGGGGAGGTGGTGTGGATGGAAGAGAGGCTGCAGTCAGGACATAATGTGTGAGAGAAGAATAAAAAGAATTAAAAGGTGAGCCAGTATGGTAACACTCACCTTTAATCCCAGCACTCGGGAGGCAGAGGCAGGCGGATCTCTGTGAGTTCGAGGCCAGCCTGGTCTACAAGCGTGAGTTCCAGGACAGCCTCCAAAGCCACAGAGAAACATTGTCTCGGAAAAAAAGTAACAAACAAACATTAAAAGGCTCCCTGGAAAAATGGCTTAGGAGGTACAGGTATTTGCTGCCAAACCGGAGAAACCAAGTGAAATCCTAGGGACGCCTGAAAGTTATTCTTTGCCTTCCACCGGCAAGCTGTGGTCTGCCCAGCTCCCCATAATAAACAAACAAACTAGCAAATGTGTTTCCTTTGGGAGGCTGGCAGGAAGGATTCAGTTGAGAGGGAAGGATTAAAGGGGGGGAGGAGCCCAGCAGAATAGTGCCTGAAGCTCATCCTGGCGGAGACAGTGTTCAAGGCCATCCTTGGCTACATGGACCCAGCAGAGTAGTGCCTGAAGCTCATCCTGGCGGAGACAGTGTTCAAGGCCATCCTTGGCTACATGGTGAATTTGAGACCAGTGCTAGAAAGGAAAAGGAGGAGGAGGAGGAAGAAGAAGAGGAAGAGGAAGAGGGAAGAAAGGAGGGGAGTCTGTCAAACATTGGGCACAGGGAAGTTGGGTTCAGGTGCTGGGGGGAGGGGTGCAACTTGGCCTCATCTGCTAGACACCCTTGGCACAGGCGTATTGGGTGCAGTATTATTATTTTATTTTATTTTTTTTGGTTTTTACGAGACAGGGTTTCTCTGTATTGTTTTGGAGGCTGTCGGTCCAGCCCGGCCTCGAACTCACAGAGATCCGCCTGCCTCTGCCTCCCGAGTGCTGGGATTAAAGGCATGAGCCACCCCAGCCCGGCTGGGTGCAGTCTTTATCCAACCAATTTTCATGCTAAGCACGTGCATCCAAGCCAGGACAGGTGAGGTCTCCATGCTCACAGACCTCGCTTTCAGTGGTGGGAGGCAGATCGAAAAAGAAACAAGCCCACAGATGATGTCTAGGCCACACTAGACGCCTAGCGGAGTGTGAGCAGGGCCGTTCTGACTGGGAGGGGGTGGGGACAAGCTGCTCTGCCCATCATAAGACTGTCCTGAGCGAGGCCAGTTAGGCGCAGAGCTGTTAAGAGGTCAGCGTTCTAGACAGAGGGAACACGCAGCACAGACGACCCAGGGCTGGTCTGTGGAACAAAGAGAAACCGGGTGGCGTAGGGTGGGGGAGCGGCACCGGTTAAATGGGGAAGACAGGGCGAGCAGCCGACTTAGGACATGACATGAGCCAGGCCTGCCCAGAGAGCCTGCCCTCTAGGCTGGCGTCTCCTCTGCGGGTGAGTTGCGGCTGTCACTGGCAGGTGTTCTGTTGGCGCCCTGGGGATCGGCTCCCGGCTGCATCAGTTCTCACGCTGGTCCTCTCTCCCTTCAGCTTCCTGAGTGATGCCAGCTCAGCGCGCCCGGACGTCTGTTCTCACTCTCCTGGTGTTGCTCGGCACAGCCAGAGCGGGCCCTTTCTCTCCTCGTTCCAATGCCACCCTCCCCGCCCCACGGCCCCCTCCCCAGCCAGGGGGCCCCTCTTCTCAGCTGTACGAGCACACCGTGGAAGGCGGGGAGAAGCAGGTGGTGTTCACGCACCGCATTAACCTGCCCCCTTCAGCTGGCTGTGGCTGCCCCCCGGGCACGGAACCCCCGGTGCCTGCTTCAGAGGTGCAGGCCCTGAAGGTCCGTCTGGAGATCCTGGAGGAGTTGGTGAAACGGCTCAAGGAGCACTGCTCAGGAGGGTGCTGTCCCACGGCCGCCCAGGCTGGCACGGGTGAGCACTGGTGGGGGTGGGGGGTGGCCGAGAGGAGGAGAGAAGAGGATCAGGATGGGAGAGGTGCCTGGGGTGCCGTCAAGGATCCTTGGTATGGAGGAGAGAGACAGTGTGCCGCTTCCTGGTCTTTAGGGGTGATGGGTGCAGTGAGGGGCGCAACTTGGAAAGCAGAGATCGGCTAGAGTCGATCCAAACGCTCGCAAGAGGGCATGTATGCTAAGCAACGAGGAGCCTTAAGAAGGCTGGGCTAGGGTGGAGAGATGGCTAAGCAGTTAAGAGCACTGGCTGTTCTTCCAGAGGACCCGAGTTCAAATACCAGCACCCACATGGCGGCTCACAACCGTCTATAATGAGATCTGATACCCTCGTCTGGCCTGCAGACATGTGTGCAGACAGAACACTGTATACATCATAAATAAATAAACATAAAAAAAGAAGGCTGGGCTAGCCCCAGGCACTAACACGGGCTGGCTCTCGCTTCTTCCTGCACCAGGCCAGACCGATGTGCGCAGCCTCTGCAGCCTCCATGGTGTCTTTGACCTGAGCCGCTGCGCCTGTTCCTGCGAGCCTGGCTGGGGTGGACCCACCTGCTCGGACCCCACGGACACCAAGCCGTCCACCTCGTCCCCACCCTCAGCCTCCAGGACCTGTCCCGATGACTGCAACGACCAGGGTCGCTGCGTCCGAGGACGCTGCGTGTGCTTCCCCGGCTACAGCGGGCCCAGTTGCGGCTGGCCCTCTTGCCCCGGAGATTGTCAGGGGCGCGGGCGCTGCGTGCAGGGTGTGTGCGTGTGTCGCGCTGGCTTCTCGGGCCCCGACTGCAGCCAGCGCTCCTGCCCTCGCAACTGCAATCAGAGAGGACGCTGCGAGGAAGGGCGCTGCGTGTGCGACCCCGGCTACTCCGGTGAGGACTGTGGGGTGCGGAGCTGCCCCCGGGGCTGCAGCCAGAAGGGCCGATGCGAGAATGGACGCTGCGTGTGCAACCCCGGCTACTCGGGCGAGGACTGTGGGGTGCGGAGCTGTCCCCGGGGCTGCAGCCAGAGAGGCCGCTGTGAGGACGGCCGCTGCGTGTGCGACCCTGGCTACAGCGGTGAGGACTGCGACGTGCGGAGCTGCCCGCGGGACTGTGGCGAGGGAGGGCGCTGCGTGGACGGCCGCTGCGTGTGCTGGCCCGGGTACTCGGGCGAAGACTGCAGCACGAGGACCTGCCCGCGTGACTGCCGTGGCCGTGGCCGCTGCGAGGACGGGGAATGCATCTGTGACGCCGGCTACAGCGGCGACGACTGCGGCGTGCGCAGCTGCCCGGGGGACTGCAGCCAGAGAGGCCACTGCGAGGACGGCCGCTGCGTGTGCTGGCCCGGGTACACAGGGGCGGACTGCAGCGCGCGCGCCTGCCCACGGGACTGCAGGGGCCGTGGGCGCTGCGAGGACGGCGTGTGCGTGTGCCAGGCGGGCTACAGCGGCGAGGACTGCGGCGTGCGCAACTGTCCCGGGGACTGTCGCGGCCGGGGAAGCTGCGAGAACGGCCGCTGCGTGTGCTGGCCCGGGTACACAGGCCGGGACTGCGGCACGCGCGCCTGCCCTGGCGACTGCCGCGGGCGCGGGCGCTGCGTGGACGGCCGCTGCGTGTGCAACGTGGGCTTCACCGGCGAGGACTGCGGGAGCCGTCGGTGCCCCGGGGACTGCCGCGGGCACGGCCACTGCGATGACGGCGTGTGCGTGTGTGCCGCGGGCTACTCAGGGGAGGACTGCAGCACCCGCAGCTGTCCCAGCGGCTGCAGGGGCCGCGGCCGGTGCCTGGACGGGCTCTGTGAGTGCGATGATGGCTACACGGGCGAGGACTGCGGCGTGAGGCGGTGCCCGCGCGACTGCAGCCAGCACGGCGTGTGCCACGATGGCTCGTGCGTGTGCCACGCGGGCTACGCGGGCGAAGACTGCAGTCTCCGCACCTGCCCGACTGACTGCAACCGGCGCGGCCGCTGTGAGGACGGGCGCTGTGTGTGCGACCCAGGCTACACCGGCCTCGCCTGTGCCACTCGCACGTGCCCAGCTGATTGCCGTGGCCGCGGGCGCTGCGTGCAGGGAGTGTGCCTATGCTACGCCGGCTACAGCGGTGAGGACTGCGGGCAGGAGGAGCCTCCTGCCAGCGCCTGCCCTGGGGGCTGCGGGCCCCGGGAACTGTGCCGTGCAGGCCAATGTGTGTGTGTCGAGGGCTTCCGAGGCCCAGACTGTGCCATCCAGACATGCCCAGGTGACTGTCGCGGCAGGGGGGAGTGTCTCCAGGGCAGATGCATCTGCCAAGACGGCTATGCTGGGGACGACTGCGGGGAAGGTGAGCCAGGCGCGCCCTCTCCCGTACACTGGGGCAGGAATGGGGATCCAAGCGGAAGAAGCCTAAGGAAGAATGGAGGGATTGTTCCTTGTGGAGTGGGGGCAGGGATCAGTCAGAAGGGCCCCGTCCACCCCGATAGTGGAACCATAAGCAGGCACCAGTGGGAAGTCTCTGGGCAGAGGGTTGTCTTTAAGGTGTTTGTATGTTCAGGGCGTGGGGGAAGTTGAGGGATGCCCCGGGGCCCTTCTTGAGCCTTTTCCGGTGTTCCCCAACCTGAGTTTGGGCAGTGGGAACACAGATGTGGCCCTCTGTACGGCCCTGAGCGGCCGGGTTCATCAGCTTTCCCTCCTCCATCTGGGCAGAGGTACCAGCCATCCAGAACGTGAGGATGCATCTGCTGGAGGAGACGACTGTTCGGACAGAGTGGACCCGGGCCCCTGGTCCTGTGGATGCCTACGAAATCCAGTTCATCCCCACGGTGAGGGCAGGCAAGGGGGAGGCTGGCTGGGCAGTATAAAGGGGAGGGGGCTGGCTCACACCACACAGGAAGTCACACTTGTGAGACTCCAGATGGCTGGTGTCCCAGTCTGCTATAAAATGCCTGGCAGGGAGGCCTCAACATTGGTCCAGGGCAGCTAGGTTACTGATGGTAACGGTGAGGTCACTACTACTGGCTGTTGCTGCTGAGTCCAAGTGGCCCATTCCTCACACTCACACCTTTGCGTTGGCTGGGGACATTGCTATCCGGGGTACGTGGTGGGCTCCTTGTGTCCTGCACTCAGAGTGCTCAGCCGTCACCTCATTCTCAGGCAAGCCCTCGGCCTCTACCCCCCCCCAAGGCTGTGTCTTCAGATGCTCCCTGCCTTTTTGTACATATGCTAACCCCAAATGGGGAGACCCACTGCCAGCCTGGGCCCGCTGCTGTTTTCTCCGAGCTGCTGCACATTAACCTGCAGCCACACAGACTGCCAGTGGGTTTGATTATGTTTGTTTGAGTTTTTTTTCTATTGCCAACCTCACTGAGGCCCAGAGCAAAGCCTTTGGAAAGCATAGATTAAGACTCCAGGCGGTAGGGGCGTACGCCTCTAATCCCAGCACCTGGGAGGCAGAGGTAGGTGGATCTCTGTGAGTTCGAGACCAGCCTGGTCTACAGGGCGAAATGCCAAGAGACAGGCAAGGCTACAGGAAGGAAGGAGAAGGGAGGGAGGAAGGAAGGAGGGAGGGAAGGAAGGAAGGAAGGAAGGGAGGGAGGAAGGAAGGAAGGAAGGAAGGAGAAGGAAACTATGATAACGAGCAAGAGGGAAGAGGGACTGAAGGGAGAAGAGGAGGGAAGGGAGGAGGAAGGCAGTGCTCACCGCCTCCCCTTCCAGTCTATATATAGGCTTTGTCTTCGGCTCTGTTCAGTGTTATCTTTATTCGTTTAGGCCAAGCTGTCCGGGCCGTCACAACAATCCTGAGTCCACGAGCTTGTTTTCCCAGCGGCTCCTGCCGTCAGTACTTCTCCATTCTTTCTCTGCCTCTAACTTGCTCTTAAAACGTTTGGGAGCACAGTGAGGACAAAGCCTTCGGCTCCTCCTTAGGGACCGCTCTCTACACAGATTCCACTGGGGCGGGGGAGGCACACGCATACTTCACTTCTCGGTCATCTGCCCCCCATCATCCCGCCAATGACGGGCAAGGCCACACTCGTGTCCCCCAGCCCAGGGAAAACTACACAAGCCTCAGAAGGCCCTGGGATAGAGAGGCAAGTGCCGAGATGCTGGCTGCCACCCTCACCAGGGCAGGGTCCACAGGGAGGTCTCCCCCAGCTGTACCCCAAGCTCTTGTGCACTGTGTCATAACCAAGACAGCCCCCCCCTTCCTCCTCTCTGAAATTTCTTACATGATTTAATCAGGAGACAAGAATCTGGCAACTAGGGAAGGGAGAGACGATAGTTGGCTGCCCGGCGGTAAAACAAACGCGCCAACGTCTTAGGAAGCGTCTCTCCCGCTCTGTTGTATGTGTGCCTCATTTACACAGCTCTGACCTGCAGGGTGGGACTTTCAGAAGGAATTTTCCTATGAACCTTCAGGGGGAGGAGAAATAAAATAAATAAAATAGACAGTTGAGATAAGAGAGGCCTTCAGGCAGTGCTGTGTCCTGATCCAAACATACAGCCGCCTCTCAGGGTGTTGTCAAGGGGTGCGGCCTTTTTGCTCTGAGCAGGATGGTTTAAGCTGTTCTGCAATAGGCCTGGCTCTCAGCCCCTCACCTCTGCTCTGGGCATGGGACCCTTCCAGGCCCTGTGTGAGGCTGACATCCAGCCTGCCCACTGTCCCAGCAGTGTCCCTCAAGGCCACCCTACATAACCTCACGACCTGAACACACACCCAAAGGAGGGCTTTCATTTTCTTTCTTTTTCTCATGGCAATTTATCACACATAGAGACTGGGGAGGGAGGGGTCTGCATTTGGTTCCTAGGTTACACCCAGCCCCGGGACAGGGGTGGTATCAGACACACGGTCACGCCCAGCCCTCAGACCCGCTTTTTGTGGTGACTTCTTGGGCCTGAGCCTTTTGCCTTGGCCATGCTGTTTCCATCAGCTGACACGGAGTCCATTGTCACCCCTCATCTCCCTGGTGGCAGCCTGTCTCTCCCTTGTTCCTGGTGGCTCCTCCCCCCACCTCCCCTAAAACACTTGTCTCTTAGAACTTGACTGCTGTCAGGCGGTGGTGGCACACACCTTTAATCCCGGCACTCTGGAGGCAGAGGCAGGTGGATCTCTGTGAGTTCGAGGCCAGCCTGGTCTACAAGAGCTAGTTCCAGGACAGCCTCCAAAGCCACAGAAAAACCCTGTCTCGAAAAACAAAACAAAACCAAAAGAAAACACAAAACAAACAAACAATCAATCACCAAGGGAGCCCAGCCTTACCAGGGAGCAGTGCCAGCCCCAGCCGCCAATATCTGGCCAGAGATCCCACCTCAGACTCCAAGAGATGGGGTTGGGCAGCATGGGTGAGGCTGGCATGGGGACTTCCAGGGAGGAACCAAGAGTCCGTGTTGATCCAAAGAAAGAAAGAATTCAGGATGGGTTTGTTTTGATGAAAGATGGAGACGTCAGGGCTTACAATAGAGGGAGAGGCAGGAAGGGGTGCACCGTGGGCAGGCGGGTCCTGGGAGGCATGAGGGTGTCACATGTGCTGGGTGAAAGCCACCCCACGGCCCCTCCAAGCTGGAACTGAAGGAGGAGGGCAGAATTCTCCGTACCCAGGGGGAACCTTTCTTTCCACCCACAAAATAGTGACCCAGCTTCAGTTTATCCTCACCCAAGAAAATCTCCACGTGGCTTCTCATCTGGTTTTTTACTTTGGTATTTACTATGTTTTTTTGGTTTAGGACAGTATCTTTCAAATTTTCCAATCCCATTTGGCTGAATGGAGGTGTCCCTGCCATGGCCAACATAGCTGAGCAGTACAGGGTGTCCCCAGAGCCTGTCCTTGCGAGGCAGCCCCACACGGTGTAGGGCTGTTCCAACACTCCTGTGTCCAGCCCTCCCACCGTCCCAGTAGTCCCTCTAGGAGCCTGAGGGGCCACCCTACAAAACCTCGTAACCTGAAACACACCCCCAAAAGGAGGTCCCCCCCCATGGCTGCCTGAGGGGCCACCCTACATAACCTCGTAACCTGAAACACACCCCCAAAAGGAGGTCCCCCCCCTTGGCTATTTATCACACATAGAGACTGGGGAGGGAAAGGTCTACATTTTGGTTACTAGGTTACACCCAGTAACCCAGGACAGGGATGGTATCTTTTATTTTTTCGGGTTTCCAACACACAGCAGGATGGCAGGTGTGAGCAGCGTCCGGGAAATGTGCTATTAGAATGCTGAGCAGGCCGGCCTTTCTTTAAAGGGCGTGTAAGGCTGCCGAAGAGACAAGAAAAACGTCTAGAGGGACACCCAGTCAGCGTTACCACCAGGGCCCGCTAAACAGATTCGGGGAAGAGAAGGGGGCGGGCACCGGACATCCCTGCTCTGCCCTGTCTATTCTGAAAGAACCTGTGTAGGTAGAACGGGGTCACCCAGGGAACTAGAGGGAACCCTGGGTCAGGCAGACTTCTGGCAGATGAGCAGGAATTGCACATGAGGGGGGGGCCAGGGACACACCGCCTGCTCTCAAGCCTCTCGGCTTTCTTTTATCTTTAAGGATTTATCGCTGGGTGGGGTGGCGCACGCCTTTAATCCCCTCACTTGGGAGGCAGAGGCGGGCTGATCTCTGAGTTCCAGGCCAGCCTGGTCTACAGAGTGAGTTGCGGGCTGATCTCTGAGTTCCAGGCCAGCCTGGTCTACAGAGTGAGTTTTCAACAAAACAAAACAAAACAAAACAAAAAAAGATTTATTTTGTTTGCGTGCACATATGTGTATGCACACAAGTGTGTAGGTACTCAAGAAGACCACAAGAGGGCATCATATCCCCTGGGTCTGGAGTTGCGGGCAGTTGTGAGCCTCCTCATAGGGGTGCTGGGAACTCAACTCTGGTCTCCTGCAAAAGCAGAGCGTTTTTAGCCGTAGCTCTCTCCCCAGGCCCAGCTTTCTTCCTTTCTTTCTTGTTTATTTTTCCAGACAGGGTTTCTCTGTGTGGCCCTGGCTGCACTGGAACTCGCTCTGTAGACCAGAGCTGGCCTCAGACTCACAGAGATCCGCCTGCCTCTGCCTCCTGAGTGCTGGGGCTACAGGCGGGCGCCACCATGTCTTGCTCAGCCTGAGCTTTTTTTAAAAAAATTTATTTATTATGAATACAACATCTTGCCTCCATGTATGTCTGCAGGCCAGAAGAGGGCACCAGGTCTCATTACAGATGGTTCTGAGCCACCATGTGGTTGCTGGGAATTGAACTCATGACCTCTGGAAGAGCAGACAGTGCTCTTAACCTCTGAGCCATCTCTCCAGCCCCAGCCTGAGCTTTCTTAAGAAAGCGATTTTATGTATAATCATGTGTCTGTGTTTGGGTATGTGCACGTGAATGGAAGGGCCTGAGGAGGTTGGGGGTTGTCTCCCTTGGAGCTAGAGTTACAGATGGCTGTGAGCTGCCCCATGGGGACGCTGGCACCTGGATTTAGGTCCCTCTACGGGAACAGTAAGCCACCTCGCCAGTCTTCCAGCTCTCCCGGTGTGCACCCTGTCGGGACACGGTCTTCCTGAGCCGGGTTTCCTCATCTGCCAAGTAGGACTGCTGGACCCCCCTTTTCACAGACTGTTAGTTCACTGACAGACACAAACCACAGAGAAGAGTCGCGGGGGCCCCGGCTCTGACACATCTGGTACTCTCTTGCAGACTGAGGGGGCGAGCCCACCATTCACAGCTCGGGTGCCCAGCTCTGCCTCAGCCTATGACCAGAGAGGACTGGCCCCTGGTCAGGACTACCAGGTCACTGTCCGTGCTCTACGAGGGACCAGCTGGGGTCCTCCAGCCTCCAAGACCATCACTACCAGTGAGAGCCGGGGCTTTGGCGGGCAGCTGGGAATCTGGGGGCTGCACCAGAGCAGAGCAGAGTGAATTCACCACTGAGCCGTCTTCTGTCTGACCCCGCCAGTGATCGACGGCCCTCAGGACCTCCGAGTGGTGGCTGTGACCCCGACCACACTGGACCTCAGCTGGCTGCGCCCCCAGGCTGAGGTGGACCGATTCGTGGTGTCCTACGTCAGTGCCGGCAACCAAAGGGTGCGGCTGGAAGTGCCCCCCGAGGCGGACAGGACTCAGCTAACCGACCTGATGCCGGGCGTGGAGTACGTGGTGACTGTCACTGCAGAACGAGGCCGTGCAGTCAGCTACCCGGCTTCCGTCAGGGCGAACACAGGTACGGCGTTCCCGGTGCTAAGGTAGAGCCTGGTTTCCGGGTCTGGGAGCCCTCTCCTCGGGTGCCCAGGCCTGGAGGGTCACAAAGGGCAGTGGGAATCCTAGCACACCCGCCACAGCCCTGTTCTGTTCTGAAGACACCAGGGGGGAGAGGCCCTCAGGTGCCTGGAGTCCCATAGGAAGCTTGAAGGTTAGACTGTGGGAGGAACTGCCCCCTGGGAGGGAAGAGTACAGAAGATGCTGGGAACCGCCCAGGGGAGGGTAGATTTTCTCCTCTAACTTAGCTACACAGGCAGTGGGCAGTGTGATCTTGTGGAGACCAGAGCTAAGCGCGCCACAGGTCACCATCCTGCTGACTTTGGGACTGGGGGTTGCCTGGGGTCATTTTCCACCAGCCCTGAAGGTTTCTTTAACAGATACCCAGCCGGATATCTCTTTTTCCTGGGACAAGGCGACGCCCTCTTCGGAGTAGCTCTCATTTTCATCCCCCCACCCCCCCCCTTTCCCGTTCTCTCCCTCAGATACACGCCCCGCCCACCGCCGGCTTCTTTTCCTTCTAGGGCACCAACAGTGGCAGGCTTGGAGGGCGAAGGAATGGGTGGGGCTGGGGGGGGACACTAATCTCTCTTTCTAGGTGGGGCTGGGGCGCAGGGAAGAGGCCTCCCTCGTCCCTAGTGGGGGAGCGGGGATCCACGGTGGCTGGCGAGGAGGAGCGCGCGGTGGGGGAGGCTGGCACTGACCCGATGTCCCCTCCCCCTTTCTCACTCGGCAGCACCAGGCCACTACGGTTACCCGGAGGTGCACCCCCCAGCCCCGCCCCCCCAACCCCCGTCCCCGGCCTCCACGGCCCTCCCGGCCCTTGTGGCCCACAGAGGAGTGGCACCCCCGGCCGAGCCTGCCCCAGCCTCCCCGAAGGCCTTGGGGTAACCTGACGGCTGAACTGGGCCGCTTCCGCGGCACAGTGCAGGACCTGGAGCGTCACCTGCGCGCCCATGGCTACCCGCTGCGCGCCAACCAGACTTACACGTCGGTGGCGCGCCACATCCATGAGTTCCTGAAGCGCCACCAGACAGCGGGTGCCCCGGCACCCAAGCCACGTCAGCCCCACCCCACCGCTAGTCCCACCCAGAGCGCCAGGAAGCGGGCATCGAACCAGGGAGACGCGGACCCAGCATCCGACGGTGCACACCTGGTGACCACAGCGCGTCACCCGAAGCCCGAGGTGCTAGGCAGTGCAGCGGATGGCGCCTTGATCGTGTCCCTCGACGGGCTCCGGGGCCAGTTCGAGCGCGTGGTGTTGCGCTGGCGGCCCCTGCCACCCGCCAAGGGCCCCAGCGGGGAGCTGACTGTGGACGGCTCTGAGCGCACTGTCCGCTTGCCCAACCTCAGGCCTGGCACTACTTACCACGTGGAGGTCCATGGGGTGCGGGCAGGGCAGACATCCAAGTCCTACGCCTTCATCACCACCACAGGTAGCGTGGGCTGGGGCCCTGGACTGCCCATCCCCCGCGCGGCATCGCCTGCCCTCCAGAATCGCAGCCACTTAACTCCTCCCACTGTCTCACCGCTTAGGCCTCCGCCCCTCGCCACTCCCTTCCACCTCCTAGCCTACCTGGCCCGGGCTGCAGGACACGGCCACAGAAAGCTGCCCTCCAGCGTCCCAAAAGCCACCCCATCCCGGGGTCCTGGCATTCTCCTGGGGATAACTAAAGCCAAATAGACGTGGTTTGTGGGGTTCCCTGGCTCATACCTGGGCTCCCAAGCTCTTTGGCAATCAATGCCACTGTTGCCAGGGAAGTCCAGCATCTTGGCCTAGCGACACGATGTTGTCTGCAAAGTTCATGCCTTACACTTGAGTTTTCTTTTTTTTCCCCTTATTGAAAACAAAACAAAACTCTACAACCACAAAACCACCATCTCATAATCTTTTTTGGAAAGTTTGTAGTTTTGTGAGTAGAGCTGCATCATGGTGACCGCAGCTTAAGACACCCCCGCGGCAGGCTGGGGAAGACCGTGGCCTTTCCTGTCAGTTTCGGTGGGTGGGATGGAAGCCAGCGATTCCCACTTTGACTCACTGCGGCCAGGGTGCCTGAAGCCTGCGGTCTGTGGTTGTTTCCTACAGTTTGGCTTTGACCTCGAAGGGCCACGGCAGATCTGCTCGAGGGTGGCCTTGAAAGCCGCTGGGCAGCATGTGCGGAAGGTGGGGCTGTGTGTGCGTGGGGAGTGAAACCACGACTTCCCTTCCCGAACTGCTTTCCCAGACATGGCTCCCGTCCAGCTGGTCTCTCCCACAGGACTGATGCCTGGCCCAGGGACGGGGTGCTTTGTGGCTGCAGGGTGGGGGTGGACCTCTTCTTCCTCCATAGGGCGCAGATGCCGCTGGAACTGGACGTCCACCCTCATGCCCTCTCTGTCCCCTTACCGCCCCCACCCCCTTTCTCCCTAACACCACGCCCCTTCCTTTCTTCCAGGCTTTTCTCACTGCAGCACTAATGGAAGGACACCACCTGTGGGGGAGGCTCGTGGGCAGGGAGGGATGGCAGGGTTTGTGTCCCAAGCCAGGGACTTCTCCCGATGAGCTGGGGGGGGGGGGGGGGTCGGCCAAGTATGGGGGAGAAGTATGGATTGCCTCCTGAGTCCCAGATGGGGCTGGGGAGCAGCTCGGGAGAGGGGAGGGCACCCCTGGGGACTACAGGTGCCATTCCTTGCTCTCACACCCGACTCTCCTGTTTTTTTCTTACCTGCTCTGCCCCCCCCTCCTCAGGGTCCTTACCCTCTGGCCTCTTGGAGGCTACCGATGAGCCTCCTCCCTCGGGCCCCTCTACGACCCAAGGGGCCCAGGCCCCTATCCTGATCCTGGAGCACCACCCGCTGGGAGAGTTGAAGGTGCTGGGCAGAGACAAGGCAGGGCGCCTCCGTGTGGCCTGGACTGCCCAGCCCGACACTTTCACCCACTTCCAGCTGCGCATGCAGGTGGCAGAGGGGCCTTGGGCCCACGAAGAACGGCTACCGGGAGACGTGCACCAGGCTCTGGTGCCCCCGCCCCCTCCCGGAGCCCCCTACAAGCTGTTCCTCCAAGGGATCACCCCTGGGGGCAAGCCCTCTGTTCCCATCACCTACCAAGGCATTATGGGTACATTCTGGACCGTGTGCTCAGAGCGGCCGTCCTGAGGCTGGGGGAGGGGGCTGGGGCCCCTGTGTCTCAGACTCTAAAAGGTGGGATGGGGTTTCAGGGAACGGTTCCGAAGGAGATTTGAGAGTCGGCAGGGAAGGAAGTTAGGAGGGGGCACCACAATGACGGTATGCCAGCCACTGGAGGGCAGTCGGGTGGGGAGCAGCCAGACGCGAGGGCAGCAGTAGACACTGCTGTGTGTGCGCCTCCTGCCTGGTTGTCCTCTGCCCTGCCCTGGGCCGTACAGTTCAAGGCGGATGCAGCTCCCGTCCCAGCGCTGGGGTCTCAGCTGTGCCGTCTCCGGGGGGCAGCACCTGCAGTTGCACTGGGGGGAGTAAAGTCTTCTGGTGTGCATGTGTGTGTGTGTGCGTGTGTGCGTGCGCGCGCGTGTGTGCGTGCGCGCGCGTGCACGCGTGTGTGAGTGTGTGAGTGAGTGTGTGCGTGTGCGTACGTGCGTGTGTGAGTGTGTGAATGTGCGCGTGTGTGAGTGTGTGTGAGTGTGTGAGTGTGTGTGAGTGTGTGAGTGTGTGTGCGTGTGTGTGCGTGTGCGCGCGCGCGTGTGTGTGTGTGTGTGTGTGTGTGTGTGTGTGTGTTGGGGGCTCTGTTGCCATCACAGCTTCAGGGATGGGTGGGACAGGACAAGGCCTGGGATGCCTGACCCTTACGCCCCGCCCCCGGTTCCCCCTGTGAGACTACAGTGGTTGGGCTCTTGGTCCAGTTCTAGAACAATCTGACAACTGGGAGAGAGGGTAGCAAGGGAGAGAGCAGCCCAGGGGTTTGGGGAGCCTGAAGACTGCTCTGAAGCATGGGGGGGTGGCTAGAAACTCTCAAGTCATGCCACGGGGGACATGAAACTCTTTAAAGTTTTAGGGTACAGGACCGGGGACATAAAGAGGGACAGACACCTAGGGGAAAATGTCTCCTTCCCTGGAGGGGCGGGGATGGAGACATCAGGGATGGGTTGAGGGCCGCAGAGCAGAGGGTAGGAGACAGGGTGAAGGGGAACGGTTGGTCCAGCATGCTTTTTGTCTTTGTCCCCAAACGCCAGACAGGGCTGAGGAGCAGCCTGGGAAGCCATCGGTCCCGCCACGCCTGGGTGAGCTGTCAGTGTCCAGCCTGACCTCTGACTCCCTGCTGCTGCACTGGACTGTCCTGGAGGGGGAGTTTGACTCCTTCGTCATCCAGTATAAGGACAAAGACGGGCCCCAGGTGATACCCGTGGAGGGACCGCAGCGCTCAGCCCCTGTTACGTCCTTGGAACCGGGGCGCAAGTACAGATTTATCCTGTACGGGCTCATCGGCAAGAAGAGGCATGGCCCCTTGGTGGCCGAAGCCAAGATCTGTGAGTGACAGCAGCCACCCCAGCCCGGTAACTTTGTGCCATGCCGAAACAGGTTGCCCCAGAGATTTGGGCAGTCCGGGGATATTGTGAACAGCTCCCAGCGGCCAATCCCTGGGGTTGGTCTCCCAGGGAACCCACAGCCCCCTTCTGGCTGGAGAGCGTGACATGTGGGGTGCTTATTTCTAGAGTTCTGTGTGCTGTGTGGGAACCCTGTACTCTCTGGATGCTAGAGTAAAATGGCGAGCTACCTTGCAAACAGCACAGTGTGAGTCAACAGCTGGTGTGGCTTACGGTGGCCTGGAATGGTGACAGGGCAGAGCCCGGAGGCCCAGGCCAGCCTCGGGTCCCTGGATCAGCCACTTCTGTCCCCCCCCCCAGGCAGCAGCTGGTGGGCAGCAATATAGGGTGGGGTACTGCAGAGAAATACTTCCTGTGAGTTTCTGGAGCCAGTGAGCTCAGCGTGTTCTCCAACCACCACCCGGTCCTTGCACCTGCCTCTGAGGCACAAACACGTGCCTGACTCGGAGACTGGAGGGACCCGTCAGGGTCACACTGAGTCCTGGTAGCTGTGGGGGGCAGGGAGCCCACAAGGCCAGCAGAGGTGGAGAAACACCAGGGCAATGTCCCAGATGCCGGGAGGAAGGCACAGCCAGCCAGAGTCCACCAGAGTGACTTAGGGCTCTCCAGTGTCCTCGGGACACAGCAACCGCCAGGTCACCGGAAGCTGCCCGGTGGAGGGCGGAGCCGGACTGGAGGTGATGTGGGGGCACAGACGTTTCTGGAATCCTCTGTGAACAGAGCGCCAATAGCGGAGATGGAGGGAGATGCACTCAGAAAGTGGGTACAGCCAGGGACAGGCGTGGCAGGCAGGCTTGGCAGACAGGCGTGGCAGGCGGGTGGGTGCTCCCTACACTGCTGCACCCCGGGGGAGTCTCGAAGGAGAAACTAGCCGGGAGTTAAGTTGGACGCATGGAGGCTGCCTCAGGGAGGTTTCCCAGGCTGTGCACGGATATACGAAGGGGCTGGCCGGGTTCCCCTCCCCGTTCGGAGCCTCTCCCCCTTGGCTGGGAATAATCAGTGCAACACCACAGGGCATGAGGCAGCTCAGAAGGTGCCACTCCTTCCCGTGACGGGGTCCAGCCCCTCCACGGAGCTCACAGCAAGGCAGAGGGCTGGCTGATTTCCGTCCTCCGGGTCCGTCTGTCGCGGGTGTCTCCCGAGTGGCAGCTGCACCGGGCTTCCTTTCTCCTGTGACTCCCCGGCCCTTTCTCTCCTCCTAGTGCTTCAGAGCGACCCCAGCCCAGGATCCCCACCCCGCCTGGGAGAGCTGTGGGTAACCGACCCTACCCCGGACTCACTGCACCTCTCTTGGACGGTCCCTGAGGGCCAGTTTGACTCCTTCATGGTCCAGTACAGAGACAGGGAAGGACGGCCCCTCGTGGTACCAGTGGAGGGGCCTGAGCGTTCAGTGGTGGTCTCCCCGCTGGACCCCAACCACAAGTACAGATTCACTCTGTACGGGATTGCCAATAAGAAGCGGTACGGGCCCCTCACCGCTGACGGCACTACCGGTGAGTGGCGGCCACCTAAGCTCCCTTCCACACGCTCACCCTCAGCCAGGGACCAGCTGAGCCTCCCAGCAAAATGGCTGACCCCAACACCCTGGCCCTGCTCCCAGGCTGAGGGGCAGCCAGCTTCCCCGGCACAGCTAGGCCCCTTCCATCCGGCTCAGCGTGCTCCCCAAAGCCCAGGAGGTGTGTCATACTCTGGCTGTGTCCAGCTTTCCAGGGTTCCAACACTCGTGCTAAAACGGAGTGGCGACCCCCCCCCCACCCCAGGGTCCAGACCTGAACCCCCCCCCCCCGATCCCAGGCTGCTGCTGCTTCTGCACCTGGCTCTTTCTTCTCGCCTACAGCCCCAGCAAAGAAAGAGGGATTGTCGGAACAGCCCCTCCTGGGGGAGCTGACGGTGACTGGCACCACCCCAGACTCCCTGCGTCTGTCGTGGACCGTGGCCCAGGGTCCCTTTGACTCCTTCGCCATCCAGTACAAGGACGCACAGGGGCAGCCCCAGACGGTGCCCGTTGCGGGGGATGAGAACGAGGCCACTGTCCCTGGCCTGGAGTCCAACAGGAAGTATAAGATGAACCTCTACGGGCTTCGTGGCAGGCAGCGCGTGGGGCCCGCGTCTGTAGTGGCCAAAACGGGTGAGTCAGAGCCCCCCCCCAGTCTCCCTTCACTGCTGGCCCCAGGCAGGGCCTCCTGCCCCAGGTCGGCTCGCCCTTCAGTCTTCTTTTGCTAGGGAGCAGGGACTTTGCAGGCGTCTGTCTGTCCCTCATTATTGGCTTCATAAATCAGGGTCCATAGGACCTCCTAGGCCGGTCACTTAATCTTGCCATTCCCAGCTTCCTTTCTGCCAAGCCAGGGGTGGGGGGGGGGCTGATGGTGACGCCCCCGGGAGCTCTGTTAGTATACACAGCAGGTTTAAGCCAGGCGTGGTGGTTAAGACCTGCCTGTAATCACAGCACCTGGAAGGCTGAAGCCAGAGGATTTTGTTGAGTCCCAGGACGGGCTGGGCTGCGTGCGCAGTAAGACCTCTCCTAAAACTGAATCAACGAATAAGAGGAGCAGTTGACTCGGGCTCAGAGCTCCTGTGTGCAAACCCCTGCTGAAACCGAGCCACCTCTGCCGCCCGGGGCCCTCTCATTCCCTGACCACGCCACTATCACACCACTGCCACTGTTTGGCTCCAGAGTGTCCCCTCCCTGTCCCCTCCTTCTTCATGTGTCCCCAGGGTCTCAGTCCCTCAGGGAACCCTGCAAACACCTACTGCAGGGATGGCAGGCAGGGTGCTGGGGAGGTCCTGGGGGCCGAGCATCCCAAGCCATCCCGGAAGGAGCAGGGCTCTTCCCAGGCTCGCCTAACCGATTCCACCTTGCTTGCATTCTGGGCCGTGGGCCTGCCTCGGCCATGCTCTCCTTAGAGGGTCTGGTTGGTGTGGGGAAGGAACAGGCTGCCTCAGGAAGGACGCCTCGGGAACTGGGCATTGGATGCCAGAGCCGAAGGAGCCCTCAGCCTTCGCGGAGGGTCGCACATGCTGGTGTGCTTTGGCAGCTCCATTGGTGGGCAGGTCACTGCTAACACCGTGGGCCTACTCTCGTTCCTCAGCTCCAGAGCACATGGTGGACCAGCACCCGAGCCCCCCAGAGCCCAGCACCGAGGCCCCACAGTCCCTCGAGAAGCCACACCTAGGAGAGCTGACTGTGACAGGCGCCACCCCTGACTCCCTGAGCCTCTCCTGGACAGTCCCCGAGGGACGGTTTGACCAGTTCGTGATCCAGTACAAGAACGGGGATGGGCAGCCCAAGGTGGTGCGGGTGCCAGGACACGAGGACCAGGTCACCATCCCCGGCCTGGAGCCAGACCACAAGTACAAGATGAACCTGTACGGCATCCACAGCGGCCAGCGTGTGGGCCCCGTGTCTGCTGTCGGGGTGACGGGTGAGTGGACTGTGGGAGCCCAAGGAGCTCTTTGGAGTCTAGTGACTGGGGAATGGTGGCCAAGGACGGATCAGAATCCCAGGTCTGTTTTTGCTAAAGCTATGGCTTACTATTGCATGCCCATACCTATCTGCCCTGGCAGGGAGTGGGGACATCAATCAATGCGGCACCTGTGCCACAAGCAACTCCAAGGTATCAGGAAAAGAAAGACCAGACGTCCACTTGCATGTACTAAGAGAATGCATGTGCTGGCTTTATTGTGTGTGTGTGTGTGTGTGTGTGTGTGTGTGTGTGTGTGTCTTCATTGCAAGTGCTAAGAGGTCTCTCTCTTGTAGGAGGGAGGAGCTTTTTATACAGGTTTACAGCACAGTGGAAAAACCCCAGGTAGAAGAGAGCATGTTTTCCTCCTGCTGGATGTTGATGTCAAGGGTCAAGGCTGGGGCAGGAAGCCAGGAATAGAAAACAGGAAGCACTTGGACTGGAAAACAGGTTGCACTTGTAGGCTGACCAGCAACTCACAGAGACGCCATGGGGCTGGAGCCCAACATCTCCCTCCTTCTTTATATATAAATTAGCACCTATCTTAGGTGACTAGGACGTTAATGCCAATCTTAGTATCAATAACCAACCCTGTATAAATGTATGCAAGCATTTATGAACAATATTTGGGAATGTGGGCATCGTTCTTTATAAACTAGTTCCTGCTGTTAAGGGGCGCTGAAATACCATGGGGATCATGACAAAAAAAAAAACAAAAAACAAAAAACAAAAAACCCCAGAAACCTGTTGAAGTTCTTGTTTTTGTGATCTGTAAGTCTGCATCATCTCAGCTGTTTTAGATGTTGGATCACCTGGGCCACTGCTTCAGGTGGTCTTGCTTCATCAAACCATGCTAGTCTGGAAGGAACCCACAGCTTTTTATGTTCTGTGGAAACAAAAGCAGAAATTCTTTTCCCAAGTAACCTGTCCTTATATTTAAATTTAGAAGTCAAAGCATTTTCAAAATATATAAGTTGGATTAATTTAGCAAGATTAATATAATCAATTGTCTTTTAGCAGTTTTTGTTTCTTTCTTAGCAATTAAACAATTTAAAGACAACACAACTGTACACAGTATCCAGACACTCTGTGTATTTCTCATTTTATATACTTTTATCCTTTCCTTTTTTTTTACTTAATATCAGTACCTCATTTATTAACTGTTACCAATTTTTAATTTACCCACTTTTAATCCATCCTCCAACTGAAGGTGATCTCTCAGGTTCCCCTTTCTTTCCTGACCTTTGTCAGGCGAAGGCCTGAAGATTTAATCCAATCCACCCTCCAACCTAGGGTGATCTCTCAAGTAAAGCCTGGAGATTTGACCATTCAATTTTACTGTTAGAAGTTGAGGTACCTGTTTAATTCTTCTCTTTCTCGAGTCTCTCCTCCCCTGAGTCTTCTTTCTGGCCGATCTTTCCCAGTCTTTTCAAGTCTCTCTGGATCTCGGTGGAACCTCCAATTGTGGCGCCAGTGCCACAAGCTAGGTCCGAGGTATCAGGAAAAGAGAAACCAAATGTCCAGCTGTTTGTACTAAGAGAATGCATGTGTTGCCTTTATTGCCAGGAGAATGTGTGTGTGTCTTCATTGCAAGTGCTAAGAGGTCTCTCCCTTTTAAGAGGGAGGAGCTTTATATACAGGTTTTTAGCACAGTGGAAAAACCCCAGGTAGAAGAGAGCATGCTTTCCTCCTGCTAGATGTTGATGTCAGAGGGTCAAGGCCTGGGCAGTAAGCCAGGACTAGAAAACAGGAAGCACTTGGACTGGAAAACAGGTTGCACTTGTGGGCTGACCAGCAACTCACAGAGACCCCATGGGGCTGGGGCCCAACAGTTTTGCACACACCACTCCTAGGACCCTTTTTTCTAGCAGACCCTGCTGTTTCTGTCTCAGAATCACAACCAGGAGGAGAGACCCCGGCCATCGAGCCCCCGCTTGAGCCACGCCTGGAGGAGCTGACCGTGACCGGTGTAACCCCCAATTCTGTGAGCCTCTCCTGGACGGTCCCTGAGGGGCAGTTCGATTCCTTCATGGTCCAGTACAAGGACAGGGATGGGCAGCCCCAGGAGGTGCCCGTGGCCTCAGACCAGCGCAAGGTCACCATCCTCGACTTGGATCCTGCAAGAAAATACAAGATGAACTTCTATGGTCTGCATGGCAGAAGGCGTGTGGGCCCCCTCTCTGTGTTGGCAGTGACAGGTGAGTGAGGGAGCCAGGCAGGACCCATCCCTGGTGACCCACAGCCCTTCCCGAAGACCTTGTCCGGGCCTTGCGTGGGGCGGCCACGCCTCACCGGTCAGTCACTGCGTCAGTGACTACAGGCCTCTCTCCAGACTCAGACATCTCATCCAGGCCCCAAACCTTTGGCTTCTCCCTAAGGCTGGAACCTCCCCACCCTCCAGTGGCTTCCTCGTCTGCACTCTGACCCTGACCACGCCTCCCTTTTGGCCTCCAGGCCTCTATCCCTCTCCCGTCCCGTCCCCCTCGCCCCTCCCTTTGACTGTGCACAGCTGTTCCATTTTTTTCCTTCTCGACTCTTTGCAACCCTACTGTGACTTGAACACAGCCACAGCCCGGCTCCGCCCGGTCCCTGCCCTTCCTCACCGAGGTTAAGCACATAACGTCTCAGACCTTCTCAGAGAGGTCCTGGCTGCCCGTCCAAGTCACATTCCCTTCTGGTCCTCTCCAACTTTACCCCTGGGGGGAAGACACACCTTCCTGAGCTCCTGACTTCTGCCTCCTTTCTTTGCTCCCGGACATAAGCTCACTGTGACTCACAGACCACGGCATCTGGTGGAGCTCCCGTCCTCCCTCTCAGAACCCGGCATTAAAATCAAGAAGACAGAATTCACGAAGGGCACTAATTACGCTGATATAATCAGCGTCGCATGGCTTCAGATGCTTCACACGCAGCTGGAGACAGAATATGCGCACAAAAACACAACTTCTCACACTTGTGCATGTGCACAAAATCACAACTTCTCACACTTGTGCATGTGCACAAAATCACAACTTCTCACACTTGTGCATGTGCACAAAATCACAACTTCTCACACTTGTGCATGTGCACAAAATCACAACTTCTTACACTTGTGCATGTGCACAAAATCACAACTTCTCACACTTGTGCATGTGCACAAAATCACAACTTCTCACACTTGTGCATGTGCACAAAAACACAACTTCTCACACTTGTGCATGTGCACAAAAACACAACTTCTCACACTTGTGCATGCGCACAAAAACACAACTTCTCACACTTGTGCATGTGCACAAAATCACAACTTCTCACACTTGTGTGCGTGCGTGTGCGTAGATGCTCACACGTCACAGCATGACTGAAGGTCAAAGATCAGCTCCACAGGAGTCAGTTTTTCCCATCTGCCACGTGGGTCTCAGGGACTGAAGTTAGGCCACCGGGCTCAGTGGCGGATGCCTTTTGCCCACTGAGCTGTTTCACCAGACCAGACTGTGGAGATAGCTCGGTTGGCTGTTGCGCAACATGAGCATCCGAGTTCAGATCCCCAGACCCCTTGGAAGATGCTGGGCCTGGTGGAGAACGCTTGCACTGGGGAGGCAGAGACAGGGGGAGTCTTCGGAGCTCACAGGCCAGCCAGCCTCGTCTAATCAGTGAGCTCCAGAGTCCGCTGAGGGACTGTACGCCTCAGGAAAAAATGAGGCAGACGTCTACTGAGCAACAACACAAAAGGTCTCTCCACGTGTGTACACACATGCGTGCTCACCTGCTTGCACATGAACATGCATGCACACACATGTATGTCCACCTGCATGCTCGTGAAGATGCACACCACATGCATACTCACATCCACACACACGTACACGTATGTTCACCCACACGCACGAACACATGCATGCGCCTATGTCTGTACTGAAAGGCTACAGCCCTTTACTCGCCACAAACCATACAGTTACCAACTGTTTGCGTAGCACTGACATTGCCTTAGGCATAGTAATTTATTCAGAGATGATTAAGGTTTCAGGGTAGCCGGGCGTTTAATCCCAGCACTCGGGAGGCAGAGGCAGGCGAATCTCTGTGAGTTCCAGGCCAGCCTGGTCTACAGAGCGAGTTCCAGGACAGCCTCCAAAGCCACAGAGAAACCCTGTCTCGAAAAACCAAAAAAAAAAAAAAAGGTTTCAGGGTGTGCGGAGGCTGCCGTCCCATATGAGGGGCTGAGCACCCTCAGGCGTGGGGTCCACGGGACTATCTTGTGGATACCGACAGACCAATGTGCCACCATTGAAACATCTTCCTGTCTGACTTATGGTTTGGCAATACCTGGGTCTCTTTGTCAGCTCACTTAAGGGGCGACAAACGAGCAATGCTTTGATGTCACTCCGAGGCCATGTGAAAGCGTGCCTTAGTATTGGCGAGAGCCACAAGGGCCGCCGAACACCATGCTGGTCGTGGAAGACCAGACTGTCACAGGCCTCTGAAGACAAAGAGGAAACTCTTCCCCACTGTTAGTCCCCAGGACAGGCAGAGCCAGGCCTCCCTCCAGGAGATCATCCACGCTCTGCTTTCCGTCCTAGACCCCCTCCTGCCAGCCACTGAGGCCTCCAAGCTGGAGCCACACCTGGGGGGAGCTGACCGTGACGGACGTGACCCCCGACTCCGTGGGCCTCTCCTGGACTGTCCCTGAGGGCGAGTTCGACTCCTTCCTGGTCCAGTACAAGGACAGAGATGGCCAGCCCCAAGTGGTGCCTGTGTCAGCAAACCAGCGAGAGGTCACCATCCCAGGCCTGGAGCCCTCCCGCAAGTACAAGTTCCTGCTCTTCGGGGTCCGAGATGGGCGACGACGCGGTCAGGTCTCTGTGGAAACAAAGACAGGTGAGGACGCCCCCCCCCACCCCCCCCGAGGCACCAGCCTTCCCTGGAGGGTCTGACCTTCCTGCTGGCCGACTTTCCCGTTTACCCATCCCAGTCCAAGTCAGACAGGGACCCTGCAGGGCAGGCTCTCAAATCTCCTTCCTTCCCTTCATTTGTTCCACGTGCTGGACCTTCACGAGAAGATGGGCTGTGGGGGGCCCGGGGCCTCTTGGAGAGGAGTGAATGTGGCCAGGAGCCCCTCCTGCACCCTGAGCCGGGTGGCACTGTCACAGTGAGAGCTCGGCTGGCCTCTCTGGCTCTTACCTGGCTCCCATCCCTCTGTTTTCCCACATCCACGTGCACTGGAGACTCACCTTCCTCTTCTGACTCCTCGGAGCCTGGGAAAATGGAAACCAGACAAAACCTACTTTTTTTCTTGGGGTTTGGTCCAGGCCGTCTTCTGCCCCTTGGGGCTCCCTGCTGCCAGAAGTCTCTCTCAATAACAATTCCGTCAGTGGCTTTGCTGTCCAGGAGGGTGGCGAGCCAGCGCCTTCCCAAGTTGGATGGCTCCTTTGGCAGTCATGGGATCCCTTTTCTGTTTTGAGTTCTCCTCTGTGTGTGTGTGTGTGTGTGTGTGTGTGTGTGTGTGTGTCACTCCCGACACAAGTCCTCACGACAAGTCACAGCGCGTGCCCCTTGCCTCCTTTCCCTGTGGAATGGGTGTTGTGAGTCAGATGAGAAAGGAAATGGGGGCCTGGGCCGCACTGAACCCCCACAGCAGCCCACCTCCCCCCACTTGTCTGTGTCCCTTCAAGAGCCTCTAACCCCTTGGGGGGCAAATCAGGCAACTCAGCTGGGTTTCTGGGTAAGCTGTGCCCTGTGGGGAGAGGCGGGGGCTCTGTAAGGGAAAGAACGAGCCTGGTCAGAGAGAAGAGTAAAATGGTCAGGGAAGTTAGGGTGTCTGTCCCAGGGTGACTTAGGACAGAAGACACGCAGAGTCAAGTGGGGGCGGCTCTGAATGGGGGGCCGCAGATGACAGGGTGACGGAAGTATCTGGGGACATACTGACCACTTGGGCCGCTCTGGAGTTTTCCAGCCCTAGTGGGAGGAGGCCAAGAATCGTGGGGAAAAAAAAATACATGCAGGAACCTTTCTCCGTGTCAGCCGCCCGAGATGACACCGGCCCAGGGGTCCTTGCCCGCCTTGGGGAGCTACAGGTGACGGATCCTACGACAGATTCCCTGCGCCTGTCCTGGACGGTCCCCGAAGGCCACTTTGACTCTTTTATGGTCCAGTTCAAGGACAAGGGTGGGCCCCGGCTGGTGCCGGTAGATGGTGGAGAGCGCACGGCCACCGTCACGGCCCTGGACGCGGGCCGCAAGTACTGGTTCCTCCTCTACGGGCTTCAGGGAAAGAAGCGCTTTGGCCCCCTCACCGCAGAGGGCACCACAGGTGAGTCTCCCTGGCAGGGCACAGAGCAGAGCGTCAGGCCATCATTTGAGGCAACACGGTCACGGCCCTGGGCCGGGCGTCTGAGCTGTCTCTGGCCCGTGTCTCCACCTCAGAGCCCAGGAGCACCGTGGACCACACTGGAGTAAAGTCCCCGCCAAAACCCCGCCTGGGGGAGGAGCTGCGGGTGACTGGTGTGACGCGGGACTCTGTGGACCTCTCCTGGACAGTCTCCGAGGGCCAGTTTGATTCCTTTGTCGTCCAATACAAAGACAGGGACGGGCAGTCCCAGGTGGTGCCTCTGGGGGGCGACCACAGAGAGGTCAGGGTCTCTGGCCTGGACCCGGGTCACAGGTACAAGCTGCTGCTCTATGGCCTCCGAGAAAGCAAGCGTGTGGGGTCCATTTCTGTCATCGCTGTGACTGGTGAGTGTGACGGTCCACCGGACAGGTCCAGTTTCCCTGGTGCCCTTCTGCTGGGGGCGGGGCAGTGAACGGCTTTATCGAGTCATAATTTGCATGCAGTGGTAGTGGCTTTGGCAAATGCGTAAGTTGCACCAGGGAGGTGCAAATCCATTCCCTCGACCCCCTGTACCCCCCCCCGCCAGCTCCCACCGATCTGTTAGGGGCCTGGACACCTGCCCCTCATAGGCCAAGCAAACAGACAAGTCATGTGGAAAAGTGTGTCCACGGTGGGAAGAGGAGTAAAGAGGTTCAGTGAACCCCTCGAGTCCATCTTTGGGGTCTTGACACGAGGTTTAGATTTAAAAGGAGAGCCGGAGCCCAGTCAAGGGTTGGTGTCACCCATCAGCTCCAGTCTCCAGCATGGTGGGCTGATGGCCTTGTCATTAGCCGTGTGAAATCTCCTTCCAGGAGACACGCTCCCCTTCTGGCTGGAACCAAGGTTTAACCTTTTCCTTCCGCCAGCATGGGAATCCTGGGCAATTTAACTTGGGGCAGGGCGGGTTTGTTCCGATGGTCTGATGGCCCACGGGAGGGCCACAAGGTCCCGTTAGGATGGCTTCACTCCTGCTAGGAGCTTACAAAGTCTTCTCTGCCCTGGCAGTCACTGGGATGCTCCCTGTCCTCTGGGACTGCCCTGCATCTCATTTTAGACTCAGGCAAAACAGAGCATCTTCTACTCAGTGTCTTGTGCGTCAGATGCTTCTGCTAGGCCTCCTTCCCCTGCCTTCCTCCCGTCTCCCTCCCACCCCCTCCTTCCCAAGCCCCTTCTCCCTCCCTCCCGTCTACATAGGAGTCCAGCAACAGGGCAATGACCTCCTCTCTCCCATCTCTCTGAACCAGGCCCCAAAGAAACAACAGAAGCCTGGACAGAGGTCCCCACAACTTCAACGCCCTCAGCTGTGCCCCGCCTCAGGGGGCTGAGGGTGGAGGAGGCCACGCCTCACAGCCTGCATCTCTCCTGGGTGGTGACTGAGGGAGAATTCAACTCCTTCGAGATCCAGTACAGTGACAGAGACGGGCGACCCAAAGTGGTCAGGACAGGGGGTGACCAGAGTGATATCACTCTTACCGGCCTGGAATCTGACCACAGATACCTGGTAACCCTGTACGGGTTCCATGATGGGCACCGCGTGGGCTCTGCTCAAATCGAGGCCCTGACAGGTAAGTGGGAGACAGACCCTGACCTTCTGAACAGCTGCAAAGGCCCAGAGAGGTCAAGGTTCCCATGGTCACCCTCTCTCTCCATGTTCAGTGCCGTGGGAGGAGGAGCCCACAGAGCCACCCATCATGACTCCGGAGCCCAAGCCACACCTGGGCGAGCTGACTGTGACAGACGCCACCCCTGACTCCCTGAGCCTCTCCTGGACAGTCCCTGAGGGACGGTTTGACCAGTTTGTGATCCAGTACAAGAACGGGGACGGGCAGCCCAAGGTGGTGCGGGTGCCAGGACACGAGGACCAGGTCACCATCCCCGGCCTGGAGCCAGACCACAAGTACAAGATGAACCTGTACGGCATTCACGGCGGCCAGCGTGTGGGCCCCGTGTCTGCTGTCGGGGTGACGGGTGAGTGGACTGTGGGATCCAGGGTGGGATCCATTGGGAGTGGCAGTCAGCTCTGGGTAGGAGTCAGCAGCCTGGGACTGGCTAGTACCCCAGACCTTCTGTGGCCAGGGCTATGGCCTATGTGCCTTTCCCTGGGGCTGGCCTATCTGCCCTGTGCGGGGAGGGGGGACATCAAGACCTCTGCTGTGCCACTGCTGTCCTGGTCCCCCAAGCTGACCTAGGAGCTTGGGTATGGTGGCCAGCTGTCATCTGAGCAGGGTCACCAGGCCCAGGAGGGCGGGGCATCTCTGAACTGACACTGGGACCTCCCTGGTAGCCATAGCTTTTCCTCAGAAGCCAAGGACACCTGCTGGGGACCCTGCTCACCTCTCTGTCCCCTTCTCAGCTGCAGAGGAAGAGACCCCCGGCCCCACAGAGCCCAGCACAGAGGCCCCGGAGCCCCGCGAGGAGCCGCTCCTGGGGGAGCTGACTGTGACGGGAGCCTCCCCAGACTCCCTGAGCCTGTCCTGGACCGTGCCCCGGGGAGACTTTGACTCCTTCACTGTGCAGTACAAGGACGGCGAGGGGCGGCCCCAGGTGGTGCGTGTCGGGGGCCAGGAGAGGGAGGTCACCGTGAGAGACCTGGAGCCTGGGCGCAAATACAAGATGAACCTGTATGGACTCCGTGAGGGTCAGCGCGTGGGCCCCGTGTCCACCGTGGGCGTGACCGGTGAGTGTGGGTGAAGAGTCCTCTACTCCTCAGGCAGGTAGAGATCTCACTGTCTCCTACAGCAGAGCCACAGGACCCCAACACTCCTCTGCCTCTAAGCCATCCCTGACCTCCAATGCCTCAGGTCAAACGGGATCTGGGTTAGGGACTGCTCACTTAAGAGGAGGGAGGTCTGGAGGGTGCTGGAACCTCTGGAACATATTTTAGACTCTGCTATTTCCCAGGGACTCTAGAGAGAACCCTGGGATTGGAACAGATTCCGTGAAATATCGGCAAATCCTGCCCACAGATGGCTGTTTAAGGAATTCCCAAAAGCTGGGGCTTAAGGAGATGGCCCGGTAGCTTGGGACACTCATTGTCCAGGTTCAGTTACAACCATCCGTAACTAACTGCAGGGCACCCGACACCGTCGTCTGGCCTCCAAGGGCATCAGGCACCCACAGGGTGCACAGGCATACTTGTAGGCAAAACACTCTCACATGAATGAAAACGAATAACTCTATATAATAAAGTTCCAGAGGATACAACAGAGAGGATATAACACGTATCCCTGTCTGCTTCCATCAGGTGCTCACCGACCTGCGTCCTGCCCTCTCCCAACCTCCCCCCCAGGGAAAGGTCTTCATTAGCAGATGTGTTTGTTTTTTTGGGTTTTTTTTTTTTTTTTTTGGTTTTTCAAGACAGGGTTTCTCTGTGGCTTTGGAGGCTGTCCTGGAACTCACTCTCTAGACCAAGCTGGCCTCGAACTCACAGAGATCCTCCTTCCTCTGCCTCCTGAGTGCTGGGATTAAAGGCGTGCGTCACCAACGCCCGGCTAGCAGATGTGTTTTGACACAGCTTAAGTGTCCTAACGGTCACAGGAACCTCCACAGTCTAAGTTCAGGAGAGTTCTTGACATCCCCCAATGAAGGATTAGATCTGGTCAGGCGTGTACAGGCACCTGAAATCCTGGGAAGGCGACCGGGGCAGGAGGGTCAGGAGTTAGTTCATTCTCCTGTATGTGTTCAACTCAAGACCAACTGGGCTATATGCAGCCCAGTCCACAAACAAACAAAACCCACAAATGCTTAAAGGAAGTGTGGGCGTTAAACATACAGAGGCCTTGAGTTACAAGGTGACCCGACCTGTCTGAGCGGCCCCAGGGAGACCACCGAAAGGCCTTGGTGGCCACCAACGGGAAGAGAGAGTGACCAGGTCTACACGCAGCCTCCTTCTGACCCATAGGCCAGAGGATCGGGACTTGAGAACTCCTTCCAGAAACAGCAAAGATTCTGTTTTACATCTTCCCCAGACCCGGAGGTAGAGCCTACTGATGCCCCTTCCCCGAAGCCACACCTAGGAGAGCTGACTGTGACAGATGCCACCCCTGACTCCCTGAGCCTCTCCTGGACAGTCCCCGAGGGACGGTTTGACCAGTTCGTGATCCAGTACAAGAACGGGGACGGGCAGCCCAAGGTGGTGCGGGTGCCAGGACACGAGGACCAGGTCACCATCCCCGGCCTGGAGCCAGACCACAAGTACAAGATGAACCTGTACGGCATCCACGGCGGCCAGCGTGTGGGCCCCGTGTCTGCTGTCGGGGTGACGGGTGAGCAGAGAGTGGAGAACTCGAGCCCAAGGGACGGTGACCTACAGCTCTTGGGTGATGCGAGTGGGGTTGGGGCCCCGGATTGGTCAGTACCTTCGGCCTGCCACGGTCAAGGCCGTGGCTGCAAACTGGCCTGTTCTCCTAGGCAGCAGGGCCATAGAGACCTCTGCTGTGCCACTGCTGTCCAGGTCCCCAAGCTGACCTAGGAGCTTGGGTATGGTGGCCAGCTGTCAGCCGAGCAGGGTCACCAGGCCCAGGAGGGCGGGGCATCTCTGAACTGACATCGGGACCTCCCTGGTAGCCATAGCTTCCCCTCAGAAGCCAAGGACACCTGCTGGGGACCCTGCTCACCTCTCTGTCCCCTTCTCAGCTGCAGAGGAAGAGACCCCCGGCCCCACAGAGCCCAGCACAGAGGCCCCGGAGCCCCGCGAGGAGCCGCTCCTGGGGGAGCTGACTGTGACGGGAGCCTCCCCAGACTCCCTGAGCCTGTCCTGGACCGTGCCCCGGGGAGACTTTGACTCCTTCACTGTGCAGTACAAGGACGGCGAGGGGCGGCCCCAGGTGGTGCGCGTCGGGGGCCAGGAGAGGGAGGTCACCGTGAGAGACCTGGAGCCTGGGCGCAAATACAAGATGAACCTGTATGGACTCCGTGAGGGTCAGCGCATGGGCCCCGTGTCCACCGTGGGCGTGACCGGTGAGTGTGACTGGGGCTTTAGGGGTGCGTCTCCTTCTGTGGGCATTTGGCGCCTTCTCTGTTGTTTTCCCCAACCCCACAAGGCTAAGACTTGGCTTCCCTTCCACACACTTCTCCAGCAGCCTTGGCCTTTGTTCAGCCTCTTCCTCACGGGGTTGTGATCCGTCCTCCAGCAGGAGAAGCGTCACAGGCACAGCACAGCAAGCCACCTTCCAGTGGTGTTTTCCTGTTTGTCTCCCTAACTGCAGGAGGCTTTGTTACAGACATTCACACCCACAGACAGATAAACAACCCAACCGTGTACTGCTCATCAGGGGTGGCTTCCGTGGCATAAGCAGCACCCGTACCCGGAAGATGCTTTTTAGCATGGGCCACCCTCGTGGTTCAGAAGTTAAGGGTGTGCTCCCGCAGATGACCACAGTCGGTTTCCTGGTGCCCACGTCAGGCAGATCACAACTGCTTGTAAATCGAAGCAGGAGACGCTCCTGGACACACACATACACACACACAGCCGTTTGAGTCCCTTGACGGACTTGTGCTATGACGGCATTGTTGGATGGTGCCGAGAGGTTAGGAACAGGCATTTGGTGGAGGAAGTAGTTTTATTGGGGACATTTTCTTGGACCCGTCTCTTGGCCCGAACCCTTTCTGGATCCCACTTCCCTCTTTCCCGACCACCACCGCGATGCGACTGTCCCACCACGCCCTCCTCCCCACCACGAAGGACCAACACGTCCCCCCCAAAGCGTGGGTCAGAATAATATTCCCTCCCTCCGAAAATAAAAAAGCCGAGATGAGGGAGGGGAAAGGGGCCTTCGGAGCCCAAAGACTCCCGTTGGGTGCTAATCACAACGAGTTGGCAATAACCGGGCAAGCCAGGGTGGAGCGCGGCCCGCGGTGCCCACGGCAGTGTGCTTTGTAAGATTTCGGAATGCAGTGTTCTGCACATTGCTGGGCTGCCCCCCCTTTTTTTCTTCCTGTTTTAGTCTGTTCTGCATTGTGTGAATGTTCCAACATGGCAAGCATTTCTCCCCCACCCGCCCCTCCACGCATTCCTTCTATAATCACAGAAAAACAGGAAAAATTCAGCGTCTCTCCCTTAGCGCCCCATCTGTCTTCCCTGTCGCCCCGGCAACGCAGTTCGTTTCTAATCACGAGAAAATTAAATGTGCAAGCCCCTGAGCAGCAAGGGGACAGGTAAGCCTCAGGTGCGGTCAGGTCCCTGGGTGTTAGTCACGCAGCTCCCCAGGGCTTCTCAAGAGCAGGCCAGAGGCGGGCAGACCCGCCGTCAGGGACACTGTGGTGGGGCAGGGGGCAAGCCGCTCAGCCGCAGAGGGGGCAGCGTGAGAGTCTCCTGTGCCCTGGTGATGTCTTAGGTGGAGGAATCATTATCTCCCGGTCTCCCTGACTTGACAGGTCTTGTGTATGCACGTGGTCCAGCAGGGGTGTGGGGAGAACTGGGGGGACCCTGGAGAGTTTGCGGCCTGGGGTGAGCTGCTCATCCTCAGGCCTGTTACCTTCTGCCATTCCTCACGAGGGTCATTCCCAGCTCACAGCAGGCAGAAGAGAGGTCAGCGAGGGACCCACAGCCCCCGCCCTTCCGTACCCCTGGCCCCCCATGTCCTTGCCCTCCCTCTCCACCTGCATCAGCGCCCATTCCCTCCTCCCGCTCACCTACCGATGCCACGGGTCAATCATTTCTTCTTACGCCTGCATTTCTGTAGCGTGGGGAACACGGCAGCCACGTGCAAAGCTTGTAAGCTAGACAGCAAAGAGCTCGGCCTGGCTTTGCCCCAACAGCTGCCATTAGTCACTGTAAGTTCTTGACTGTCCTGTGTGAGGTCCTGGGTTCCGTGTCTAGCACCCGCACCAAGGACAAAACCAAAGCAAAAGCCGGCGGTGTAAGTGAGCCCCCAACAAAACCAACGGTGTAAGTGAGCCCCCCAACAAAGCCAGTGGTGTAAGGGAGCCCCTCTTCTGCCGGCTCTTGCTCTCTTGAGTGCCGGTTGGACGGTAGTCATTTGCCTTGTGCCTACACGGCTTGCATAATCAATTTTAATGGTTACTTGATGCTTCCTGGTGAAAGCCCTGCAAGGGAACCAACTGTCTGTTACGGATCATTTGGGTCCTGACACATTTTGCTGTCATGAATAATCTCATTATGAATCCTTCCATGCTGTAACTTTTTCCTGCTTTTCATAATTTTCTTGGGATAAGTGCCCAGAAATGGGATTATTTGGGTCATAGGAAATGAGCACTTATCTTGGCTCCTGACAGGCATGGCCTGAGTCGAAGGTGCGTGGCAGGGCAGCCTGACTGTCAGACAGGACAGCAGGGCTGGCTCAGACCTCTCCAGCCTGTAGTGGCCAGACGGCCACTGTGAGGGCCACACGGTCCCCTGGCTTCTGCTTGAGGAAGTTTATCTCCTGGGTGGCCCCAATTCTTCTGCCGGGTCAGAGGACCCGGAGAAGAGACCCCTGCACAGGGGCTCCAGAACCCCCGGAGGATACGGCAATGACAGGAACCCCACCCCCCAAATCCCTGAGCCTCTCCTGAACCGACCCTTTACAAGGATAGGGATGGGTGACCCCCACGGTACATTTTGGGGGCCAGGAGTACTGTGGGGACCTGGAGCCCCCGATCACAAGCACAGAACATAACTGTATGGGCTCCATTTGGAGCACTGAGTTGGCCTGTGTACAGCATGGGTACATCTGACCTGGATTCAGAAATCATTCCCTTGTAACCAGCTTCCTGGAAGCCTCTATTCAAGCCATCAGAGGCTTCCCACAGAACAGGCCCATCCAAGACTTCCCACAGAGCAGGACGGGGTACAGTAGGTCATCCAGTCTCCCACAGAGCAGGCCGGGTACAGTAGGTCACCCAGTCTCCCACAGAGCAGGCCGGGGTACAGGAAGTCATCCAGGGTCGCCCAGGTTGCGTTCCTATCACGATGCGGCTTCAGCCTCACCCTGGTGATAAGCACCTGATATAACCGACTGTTAAAAGTTTTGCTTTGGCTTGGCTTTTGGTGGGTTGGCCCTGCTCCTTCAGAGCCTGCTATGGAAATTCACAGCATAGGAGGCCAGACAAAAGGAGGAAGCAAGTGCTCAGCCTTACTGTCCTCTTCAGGGCACACCCTAAGTGACACCAGGGACTTCCTCCAGGCCACACCTCTTAAGGGGTCCACCTCCTCCTGCTGCCCCAGCCACCCTGGGGACCAATCGTTTAATGCACGGGCATCTGAGGGGACGAGGGGCCAGGGCACAGCTAAGCGACTCCGTCACTATGGGAACGGCGAGGGGATGCTGGGATGCAACCTTAACGGTACGCCTCTCCAGTGTACCATCCAGGTTACAGGTGTCAGATCCAGGTACGGACAATGGGGGAGCCTTGACCCTGGAAGACTGGCAGGCTCCCGAATGATGGATGGGTCCATAGCCATACCACAGCATGAGCTTGTGGAAGAGAAGCCTGGGGACAAGGCAGGACCTGGCAGGGGACACTTAGGCCAGCCTGCTCACAGGGAACCACTGAGACCTGTAGTCTGAGAGGCACGAGTTTGTTGACAGCTTTAGAAAGAGTGCATCCAGTCTGGCGCAGAGAGCAGCAGGCTAGAGAAAGTGTGGCCCAGAAGGAACCCAAGGATTTTGCGAGATGTCCTCAGAGGGACAGGATGGGCTTAAGACGTGGTGGGAAGTCTGGGTTCTGGGCCGAATGCTGGCGTCTGGCATCAGAAGATGGGTATATGCGGGCAGAGCTGGGCGAAGCGAGACAGGGAGAGAGGAAGGAGGGGGGCAGCCCAGAGGCAGGGCTGGGTAGTGCGGGACAGTGGCCCAGCCAACCAGGGGTCCTGGACTGGTGAGTGAGTTAGCCAGGAGGGGTTTAGCAAAAGTCTGGGACACTCCAAGTCTGGAGGCAGCTGGGTTGGGGCAGGTCCACGTTCAGATTGGGGACGAAGATAAGAGAGAGCCCAGTGCGGAGGGAGATGGCAGGGACACCCGGCTCAGCAAGGCTCTGAGTGGTGACCACGTGGGGCCGGGAAGAGCTGATGCTGACGGGAAGGGAGAAGGAAGGAGAGGGAGTCTGGGGGTCCTGGGATGGCAGTGTGGAAAGGGCAGAGAGGGACGGTGGAGCCTCTGAGGCCAGAGTTACTCTGATCTCCAGGGCTTTGGTTTGTTTTCAATTTCTATTTTATTAATCGTTGATATGATGTGTCGAGACAGGGTCTTACCTTGTAGCCCTAACTGTCCTAGAATTCACTATGCAGACCAAGCTGGCCTTGGGCTCACAGAGATCTACCTAGTGCTGGGTTTACAGGCATGTGATCCCACACCCCACAAGGCTTTGCTTTTATAAATGGTCCTCTGCGTGGGAACTAAGGACAGGGAAGACCTAACCTGTCCCCCTGTCTTGTTCAGATCCAGCAGAGGAAGCCATGACCACACAAGTGGTGCCTATCGTGACCACTGGACCTCCTCCAGAGAGGCCGCACCTGGGCGAGCTGACTGTGACAGCCGCCACCTCTGACTCCCTGAGCCTCTCCTGGACAGTCCCCGAGGGACGGTTTGACCAGTTCGTGATCCAGTACAAGAACGGGGACGGGCAGCCCAAGGTGGTGCGGGTGCCAGGACACGAGGACCAGGTCACCATCCCCGGCCTGGAGCCGGACCACAAGTACAAGATGAACCTGTACGGCATCCACAGCGGCCAGCGTGTGGGCCCCGTGTCTGCTGTCGGGGTGACGGGTGAGCGGACTGTGGGACCCTCAGGGTGGGATCCATTGGGAGGTGGACCCTGAAGCTATTTGGTGGCAGGGGAGTAGGGATCAGTGGCTGGGTGCTGTTAATACCCCAGATCTGCTCAGCACCACAGACCTGTTTTGCTGATGCTGAGCTCTGCCTTTCTGTGTCTTCTTCTGGGCTGGCCGGTCGCCCTGGGCAGTAGGGCCTTAGAGGACTTTGCTGTGTTGGATGTCCCCTCAGCTGGCCCAGGAGCTTGGGTATGGTGGCCAGCTGTCAGCCGAGCAGGGTCGCCAGGCCCAGGAGGGCGGGGCATCTCTGAACTGACATCGGGACCTCCCTGGTAGCCATAGCTTCTCCTCAGAAGCCAAGGACACCTGCTGGGGACCCTGCTCACCTCTCTGTCCCCTTCTCAGCTGCAGAGGAAGAGACCCCCGGCCCCACAGAGCCCAGCACAGAGGCCCCGGAGCCCCGCGAGGAGCCGCTCCTGGGGGAGCTGACTGTGACGGGAGCCTCCCCAGACTCCCTGAGCCTGTCCTGGACCGTGCCCCGGGGAGACTTTGACTCCTTCACTGTGCAGTACAAGGACGGCGAGGGGCGGCCCCAGGTGGTGCGCGTCGGGGGCCAGGAGAGGGAGGTCACCGTGAGAGACCTGGAGCCTGGGCGCAAATACAAGATGAACCTGTATGGACTCCATGAGGGTCAACGTGTGGGCCCCGTGTCCACCGTGGGTGTGACTGGTGAGTGAATGTCGGATGGATCTGTGTGGGATGACCCATTCTCATTCCCTTCTCTACCATCTTTGTGTAACAATTGTTCTCACAACAGCAAGGTTGTGTGAGCACTTCACTTTTCCTGGGGAAGGATGGATGGATAGATAGATAGATAGATAGATAGATAGATAGATAGATAGATAGATAGATAGATATAGATACAGAAAAGATATACACTCTTCAGTCTGGATAGGACACTAACAAAAACAAAGTATTCCAGACAAGTCTGACATACTGAATTAATGGTTGATTAGGGTTACATGTGAGAAAATGGGTGAAGGGTTTCTTGCAGAAACATGGGTGACTCAAATGCAGGTGTATTACATAAAAGCTGGCTTGAATGTAGATGATGACTCAGAAAAGACCCATCCTTGGAACTTTCTCCAGCTCTCCTGCAAATAACTGCTAGTGTTTAGATAGTGCTGGGACAGACTGTGAGTTCTGTAAGTTTCAGGAGCTCCCTGAGACTTGTGAGTTTTCTTTACTTCCCGAGCCTTTGAAGCTCTGATTGTGTCCTGGATGTTTCGCTTTGTTCTGTGTTTGAAACGGGGCCTCTGTACACAGCCATGACTGTCTTGGAACTCACTCTGTAGACCCAGGACTCACAGAGATCCGCCTGCCCCTGCCTCTCAAGTGCTGGGATTAAAGGCACCGCCGCCACCGCACCTGGCTACTTCCCAAGTTCTAATGAGCACTCCTCCAAGAAGGAATGTGCCAGTTCTTAGGAAACAACTACACGACGCTGTGGTCCCCTCCTCTGGCTTTTAAATTTTTCTCACTTTTCTGCAGTGCTCCCCGAGCCTTTGGGAGTAGGGTGCCTGAGGTGCTTCGCCATTTTCTCCCGTCGTTTGCCGAGCGTTGGGCCACGGTGACACGGCAACTGCCATTTAGTTCTAGCGATTTCCCTAGTTACGAGTCTCTGCAGTGCACCTCTAGTTGCAAGGAGTGAATTTCCTTCCATGATTAATTGGTCTTGGGTAGCAGCAGCAATCCATGGATGTAGACACAGGCAGTTAGAGGGCAATCCGATGGGTGTGTCGTATCCATTTAGTAAAGCAATAGCAATGGTTGCCTCCCCATGGGGGCAGGGGGAGGGGTCCACGTCTTCTCCAGCCGCAGGCTTTTGCCCTGGTTCACAGTACAAGATGCGTGTTCCCTCCGGTGGAGCAGACTCGAAGCCTAACTATTGCTGTTATTATTGCTGGACCCATAGCAGCTGTGCCGCTATCTTCCCTGCCTTGATGGTTCTGTAGTGTTCAGGGTCCGTGGACAAGCAGGACTGTTGGTGATGGTTTTCCCACAGCAGCCTGCGTGGGGTCCTGTCGGTCGCACAAATGCAAGCCAAAATAAGGGACCTTAACATTCAGCCTCAACCTGACTTCTCCCTGCTCTGCAGCCAGCATGCACTGTCTCCAGTCCAGCAATAGGAATGCAACCAACAGCATTTTCCATAGCCTTATGGTCTGGGGGACTCTGGGGGCATCTTTAGCCTGAACAATTCATAGGAGTGCAGCCCGCCCCAGAATGTCCCGTTCAACAGCCTTACAGATTCTGGCAGTGCCCCTTCCCATCCGTAGGGGGCGCCTTCCTCCAGGCTCTTTAATTCGTGTCTCTCCTGTTCTTCCGACGATTTTATGGGTACTTAAAATACTCGGAGACTAGCATGATGTCATCTGTGTCATCAAATGCATTCATGGAGGTAGACAGAATAACAACGCAGAGTCCCAGACCCATCCCATCCCATGACCAAAAAAAAAAAAAAAAAAAAGACTAGGACTATGAAGATGCCTTGGGGCATGCTCTGAAGACCGTCGATAGCCATTCCAAATTAAGCAAAGAAACATTAGCAAAGCTCAGTACAGTAAAAAGATCTCATCGGCCTCAGCGATTGCTTGATCAAGAGAGGGACGCTGAGTACAGCGGCACAGACGGAACCTATGCTATCCCGCCTGCCACAGCACAGGGACAGCTTTCCGTGAGCCCATCCAGACTCGTCGTCCCAGGATGCTGGTGTGGCCTTAAGACCACCGTCTCTCTTCGGCCTCGATGGTCCTGAAGGGCCCAGCTAGGTCCTCTAACCTCCCACGCCTGCCGGAGGAGCTGGGTCTCCGGTTCTGGAAGGCTCCCTGCTGTCACTGTGTAACGTTTGCTGCTATCATGGCTGCCGGAGGGGCCCCTGGCTACTTAAACAACTTCTGTCCCCTAGCATGGATCCATACTTTCTTGCAGGGGAGAGACGTGTGCTGCACACTCTGGAGGTGACGATCGTCCGCCCCTTAGGTCAAGTTTAACCTTTTTTCTTTAATTCATGCACGTTATGTATATGGGTGCTCTGTCTTCATGCACACCAGAAGAGGGAATCTAATCTCATTACAGAGGGTTGTGAGCCGCTATGTGGTTGCTGGGAATTGAACTCAGGACCTCTGGAGGAGCAGCCAGTGCTCTTCACCTCTGAGCCATCTCTCCAGGCCCAAGTTTAACCTTTTGGTCTGCATTGTCCTGCAGTTTCTGTCTTCTGTGATCTGCTTCTCGGACTGCAGAGTCTACCAGGAGGTCACCAGGACAGCATTTGGCATTCTGTTAATTTTCCTGTGGGAACTGTCTGTACACTAATCTTGTCACGTTTCCCTTTGAGTGACTGGGACAGATTCCTTAGTCTGCCTTGCGTTTCTCCCTCCCTCGATGGCAGCTGCATTTTATAAAGACAGTTGACATGCTGTTCAGAGTCAGTCTGCTCAGAGTTCCCAGAGGCTCTGAGCCATCTGCCACACCCCATCCTGGCCCTGGAAAGCAGCTGAAGTGCTGTGTAGCTGTGGCTGGCCCGGAACTTGCTATATAGACCAGGCTAGCCTTGTACTCACAGAGATTCGCCTGCCTCTGCTTCTCCAGGTTAAAGACGCACGCCAGCTCCTCTGGCTGCAGATCTCTTTCTTAGCGTCCCCGAGACTATGATTTTGTCTGGCTTCATGCACTGGGCATGTGCGTGGCCTCTCTCCTTCCCAGTCCCCCCAGCAACACCCTCTCTCCTCTGTTGTCCCTAAGTCCTTATGTTTACGGGACTGAGTGTCCCCGGCGGCTCATATGAGCCATTCCATCAGGGGCTGATTTTCCCCGTTTTGTCTTAGGTTACGCAGCCTTTGTCTCAAGGAGGGATGGGCTGTTACAGTACTCAGTGGTTTCTCCATCTCTGCTCAGATTAGTCCCATCTGCCTGTGTTTCACAGCCGCGCCAGCAAGGCTGTTGGAGGCTCCTTCACCGTTTTCAGCTTGAAAGTCTTTCCCAATTCACGCTGGTCAGATGCTGAGCGTGCCCTGAGCATCATAGTCTCCTGTGCTCGGTCTGCATATGGAATCGTGGATTTCTCTTCCTCTCCTCGTTGTTTCCTGTGCTCAGTCTGCATGTGGAATCGTGGATTTCTCTTCCTCTCCTCATAGTCTCCTGTGCTCGATCTGCATATGAAATCGTGGATTTCTCTTCCTCTCCTCCTGGTCAGACCTAAGGTCTCTCACCTTCTAGCCTTCCCTCCCCCTTGATTACCCAGTTACCCAAGGGTTCCAAGATTTTGGCTGCTGGGACAGGCTCTGCAGTGTGTGTTTGACCTGCTCTAAGGAACAGCAAGCTTGGACCCTGTCTGTCTCCTTTTCTCTGCTTCCCCAAACCAGAGAGGCTCACGAGCAGATAGCACGCATATGACAATTCCTCTCTCGTGTGGGCAGATAGCACGCATGTGATAATTCCTCTCTCATGTGGGCACGTTCCTTCGGTTTCACGTCTTTGCCTATGGCAAGGGCCACACAGCTCACACCATAACTCGCTTACCGTCTTGTCCTCTACGGGCTGCTTTTAGGGACTGCAATGCACCCTCTAGTCCATTCTCTGTTTCGGGGATGTCCTTACATTTTGTGTAGTATCACCCATTCATCAACCATATCCAATTTAGGAGAACGGACACCCCAAGATTCTCGCCTGGAAACGCTCAGATGGCCTGGCTTGGGTCGAGTGCCCTGTCGCCGATAGCAGGGAGGTTCAGCATCCCACAGCACATGAAAAAAGGTGGCCATAGTCAGATCATCCCTGAGGATCCTAGGTGTACGCCTCAGCGTCTGTTTCAGTGGTCACATACCCTCACCTCCCTAACTCACCTTGGGTTCTGTTAGTTTATATCCCAGCGCCAATTATGATGGTTGGCTTTTCCTGAGGGCAGCTGAACATCCATGTTGTCATGCCAGATGAGGCACTAAAAGCAGACCCAAGAAATAACTCCACCCGTGTCTAGCTTAGTGACCACGTATTCCCTGGAGTCACCTTCAGGAATGTGGTGGGCCTTACAGGGGCGAGGTAACACAGAGGCAGCTACCTCACTGCAGACCTAACAGAAAGACCCCATGCGACAGGGGTCAAATGCAGGGTTGTTTTGTTTTTTCATTAGTGAAAGGGAAGAGGGGAGACCATTCTCCAGAGACAGGAGCAGCAGGAGAGAGGAGAAAGGAAAGAGGGGGAGGAGGGGATCAGAGAGAGAGAGAGAGGAGACAGAGACAGAGACAGAGAGAGAGACAGAGAGAAGGATGGGAGGTGGGCGGGGCCCTTTTAAAAAGGAGCAGGGTGACTGTGCACAGGTGGTGCTCTTAGTGGCTGCAGCTGAGGGTGTGTCCTGTTAGATCCCCCAGGACAGCCCAGTACGGATGCCTGGACACTAACACCCAGGACTCCTGCTTAGCGGCGCCTCTGTAACCATGCTGAGGCCTTACAAACCCTGTAAGCCTCAGGAACTTCCTGAGAGAGACTTGAGGTGGGAGGAAACAGCCCCACACAGGCCCAGCAGTGCATCCGGAGCCTGCTGTTCTGTCTCTGACAGAGTCCTGAGCACCAAGATGCTGGTAAATGCCCCACGGGAGAGGCGTCGGCCTTGGAACTTGTCTCTGCGCGTGTGTGGGCTGCAGATTCCTCTCAGACGCCCGGTCTGTGCGGGGAGCACCCGGCCCGTGAAAGGACAGCAAAAGCTAGCATTTTCACTGTGCACCTATAAACCCAACTTCCCTTTGTCTTATTTGTTATTGCAATTTTCAACTTTCATCCCCATGCATCGCCTCATTGGGTCCACAAAGAGCTCCCGTGTCCCCTGATCTGTGCGCCATGGAGCTGAGTATGAGTTGTCATCAGCCGGAGAGAGACCTCCGACAACTCATCCGGAATGATGGCATCTGGCGGGGATGTGGGGGGGGTGGGGGTGTGTATGTGTCTGGTTTCTAGTGTGATATTCCAAGTCTGTTTGGAGCAGAGTCCTGAAGCCGGTGAGCACAGGGGGGGGGGGCAGTGGCCTTCAGGGGCCTGCTCAGGTGCTGTGGGGAAGGGAGAAGTCTTGCTGGTGGATAGAGGGGGAGGGGAAAGTCTAGGGCGAGCACCAGGAACGGCCGTGTGGAGGGCACGGAGAAGATATGCAGTGGTCCCTGTGGCCAGCGTCACTTTGCTCTTCGGGGATCCGTTTTCACAAATGCCCATTTATGTGGCGACCGAGGATAGAGAAGACATAACCGGTCCCTCTGGTGTGTCCAGATCCAGAGGAGGAAGAAACCACGACCACGCAGACGGTGCCCACCGCAACTCCTACGAAACCCATCCTGGGCGAGCTGACTGTGACAGACGCCACCCCTGACTCCCTGAGCCTCTCCTGGACAGTCCCCGAGGGACGGTTTGACCAGTTCGTGATCCAGTACAAGAACGGGGACGGGCAGCCCAAGGTGGTGCGGGTGCCAGGACACGAGGACCAGGTCACCATCCCCGGCCTGGAGCCAGACCACAAGTACAAGATGAACCTGTACGGCATTCACGGCGGCCAGCGTGTGGGCCCCGTGTCTGCTGTCGGGGTGACGGGTGAGTGGACTGTGGGAGCCCAAGGAGCTCTTTGGAGTCTAGTGACTGGGGACTAGTGGCCAAGGACTGATCAGAATCCCGAGTCTGTTTTTGCTGAAGCTATGGCTTACTATTGCATGCCCATGCCTGGGGCTGGCCTATCTGCCCTGTGCGGGGAGGGGGGACATCAAGACCTGTGCTGTGCCACTGCTGTCCTGGTCCCCCAAGCTGACCCAGGAGCTTGGGCATGGTGGCCAGCTGTCAGCCGAGCAGGGTCACCAGGCCCAGGAGGGCGGGGCATCTCTGAACTGACACCGGGACCTCCCTGGTAGCCATAGCTTTTCCTCAGAAGCCAAGGACACCTGCTGGGGACCCTGCTCACCTCTCTGTCCCCTTCTCAGCTGCAGAGGAAGAGACCCCCGGCCCCACAGAGCCCAGCACAGAGGCCCCGGAGCCCCGCGAGGAGCCGCTCCTGGGGGAGCTGACTGTGACGGGAGCCTCCCCAGACTCCCTGAGCCTGTCCTGGACCGTGCCCCGGGGAGACTTTGACTCCTTCACTGTGCAGTACAAGGACGGCGAGGGGCGGCCCCAGGTGGTGCGTGTCGGGGGCCAGGAGAGGGAGGTCACCGTGAGAGACCTGGAGCCTGGGCGCAAATACAAGATGAACCTGTATGGACTCCGTGAGGGTCAGCGCGTGGGCCCCGTGTCCGCCGTGGGCGTGACCGGTGAGGACTGGCCTCTGTTTGCTCTTCCCTTCTCCTCCCCTCCCCATCCTTCCAAGCTGTCTCTCTAGCTCACACACTGGGCTTCCAACGCCCTCACCTAGAATAGCTTTCCACACAGCTCCCTCTTTCCTCCGCTCCAGAACCCCACTCCGTCCCTCATTCCTCCCAGTTTGGCCGCCTCTCCGGGTATTGTTGATTCTTAGCATGTTCCAGATTGGGGCTACCTGGGTCTGAGTTGCCAGTCATGGGACTGTGTGCTTTTTCAAGCATTAGTTCCTGCAGCAAGGGGACAATCATGATGGCGTCTGCTAAACCGGTGGTTCTCAACTTTATTTTTCTAAGTCTTTATATGTATGTGTATGTAAATACTTAAAAAATACACAAGATATATATGTATACATATATATACATACACACATACATACATATTGCATGTATCCCTGCACTCCGGAAGAGGGCACCAGATCTCATTACAGATGGTTGTGAGCCACCATGTGGGTGCTGGGAACTGAACTCAGGACCTCTGGAAGAGCAGCGAGTGCTCTTAAACTCTGAGCCATCGCTGCAGCCCTGTCATAACCCTTCAATACAGTTCTTCATGTTGTGATGACCCCCTACCCATAAAATTATTTTCATTGCTACTTCATAAGTGTAATTTTGCTAGTTTGGGTTTTTTTGTTTTTTGCTTTTCTGTTTTTTTTTAAGTTTATTTTTATGTGCATTGGTGTTTTGCCTGCATGAATGTCTCATGAAGATGTCAGGTCCTCTAGAACTGGAATTACAGACAGTTGTGAGCCACCATGTGGGTGCTAGAAATTGAACCCAGGTCCTCTGGAAGAGCAACCAGTGTTCTTAAGTTCTGAGCCATCTCTCCAGCCCTTTTTTTTTTTGTTTCTTTTTGTATTTTGTTTTTTGTTTTTGGCTTTTCAAGACAGGGTTTCTCTGTGTAGCTCTGCCTATCCTGAAACTCTCTCTGTAGAACAGGCTGCCCTCAAACTCAGATTCCCCTGTCTCTGCCTCCTGAGTGCTGGGATTAGAGGTATGCACCAGCACCACCCAGCTAATTTTGCTAGTTATGAATCATAATGTAAACATTTTTGGAGATAAGCAGTTGCTAAAAGGTTCGAGAGCCACAGATTGAGAACCACTGTGTTGAACGTAGGTGGTTCAGGTCCTCCTAGGTGTGAGCTGCCTACAGCAGTTGCCTATGGCTGGGGTGGGGTGGGGCATTAGAAGAGGCTGTTCTGCAGCCTAGGGGCAGCCTGGTCCCCCCCAGCAGGTTCTGCCTGTACCCCCTCAGCCTCCTCTGCTCTGTTGCAGCCCCCCTGCCTACAGAGCTCCCCACAGAGCCCCGCCTGGGGGAGCTGGCTGTGGGAGAAGTGACGTCCAGTACTGTGCACCTGTCCTGGACCGTGGCCCAGGGCCCCTTTGACTCCTTCCTGGTCCAGTACAAGGATGCGCAGGGCCAGCCTCAGACGGTGCCTGTGAGCAGAGACCTGGCTGAGGTCACCATCTCAGGTTTGGACCCGGCCCACAAGTACAAGTTTCTGCTCTTTGGACTCCAGGGCGGGAAGCGCCACGGCCCTGTCTCCGTGGATGCAAAGACCGGTGAGTGAGACCCCGGCACCGTCGGCCCTCCAACCCGCATCGCCCTTTGCCCCCTTGTGGCGACCGTTGGAATTTCATGTTTCTGTGCCCCGCACTCACGGGGCAGGCACACACAGGCTCCCCCTGCTGGAGGCTCTTTTATCTCCGGAGCCCTATCCCAATCCCCTCTGTCCACCAGGAACAGAGAGCCCCGGCCCACCCCCTCCACCCCTCCCCACCCGCCACGGGCTGTGCCTGTGGTGCGCTTTCTCAGCCGCCTCCTCTGCTCTCCAATCTCAGACACAAAGCGCCTTCCTAGTCTTGGGGAGCTGACCATGACGGACGTGACCCAGAACTCTGTGGGTCTCTCCTGGACTGTCCCTGAGGGCGAGTTCGACTCCTTCCTGGTCCAGTACAAGGACAGGGCGGGGCAGCTCCAGGTGGTGCCTGTGCCAGCAGACCAGCGTGAGGTCACCGTCCCCGGCCTGGAGCCCAATAGAAAATACAAGTTTCTGCTCTACGGCCTGGCAGGCCGCAAACGACTGGGCCCCGCCTCTGCGGAGGGCGCCACAGGTGAGCCCAGCTCCCATGTCCAGGGCCTTCCAGGGACTTATCCTGAGAGTCAAGGTCCTCACCAAGGCAAGTCCCCGCTCTTGACTGGGCACGGCCTCAGCATTTTAACACACGCTGTCTCTGCCTTTCCCTGACAACTGCCAAGAAAGGGGGCTTTTAGGCTCGGCTGACCCGGGTTCAACTCCCAGGCTCAGTCTTTGACAGCCACACGACATGGGTATAAGCCGCCTCCTCTGCACCGCGGCCTTCCCGTTCTGCCGGTGGCCGGTAGCCCATCTCCACTCCGGTGGCCGGTACCTCGGCTGGCACCTACGCCCTCTTCCTCCCAACCCTGAGCCACGAGATGGAAAGGAAGGGCTTGGCTGCAGAAGACTGTGGAAAAATCTGGTGTGTTTTTGTGCCCATGAGTCACCCCCAAGGAAGGGGTGGAGTGGGCCCGTGACCCTTACCCCGTGCTCAGGTCCGTGAGTCACCCCGGCAGACATCAGGGCCGGGAGCCCTCGGATCTCACAATTCTTCCCCCAAACCCTCACTGTACAGGCTTGCCCGCATGCGGGCAGATTGTCTCTCCCCTGCCCGTTTCTCCCGCCTCTGCCCCCACCTGGTCCCAGGGTATGGAATCTGCTGGACTGAGGAAGGAGACGAGGGGTGGCATCCCGCGGCGGATAGAGGCTCTCCCCACTTGAGAGTATCTCTCTGACGCTCAGATGCCCCCCGGAGCCTCAGTTCTGGCCACAGCCCCTGCCCTGAGGAGAGGAGACCCGCCCACCACTAGTCCACTCTCTCTCTCTCTCTGTGACCCCCTGTGCAGCCTGGAAAATGGGCATGGGGCAGGAAGGGGCCAGGCAGTCCCTCCAGAGACAAGACAGCCGCCCCTCAGTGCCCCACAGCAGGACCACGCGGGCCTGGCTGTGTCCTCAGGTGTCTGTCCCCGAGGCCACGCAAGGACCCTTCCCAATGCCTCACATCTCCCTGTGTCTCCAGGAATGGGGACTATTTTTTTTTTTTAGTTTTTCGAAACAGGGCTTCTCTGTAGTTTTGGAGGCTGTCCTGGAACTCGCTCTGTAGACCAGGATGGCCTCGAACTCACAGAGATCCACCTGCCTCTGCCTCCTGGGTGCTGGGATTAAAGGCGTGCGCCCCAGCCAGGAATGGGGACTCTTAACTGAATCACTCCGCCCTCCCCTCAGCACCCCTGGAGAAGACACCACAGCCCCGCCTTGGTGAACTGTCGGTGACAGGAGAGACCCCTGACTCTCTGCGCCTCTCGTGGACGGTGGCACAGGGCGCCTTTGACTCCTTCCTGGTCCAGTACAAGGACAGGGACGGGCAGCCCCAGACGGTGGCCGTGGCTGCAGGCCAGAATGAGGTCACCGTAGAGGGTCTGCAGCCTCGCAGGAAGTACAAGTTTCTGCTCTACGGACTTGCTGGAGGGAAGCGCCTGGGGCCCATCTCTGCCCTGGGAGTGACAGGTGAGGCCTGAGGGGTCTGCGGGCAGAGGGACGGACCACAGTGATGGGTGGGAAGGCCGGGGTCCTGTCCAGAACCAAAGAAGGGAGGGTTTGTGCTCACCCCAGGGGCCGATCAGTCTTGGGGGTCCCCTGCTCTCCCGACCCCACCCATCCCCCTCGTGTGCTGCTCTCCGCTGCCCTGTCGGGACAGCTGTGTCCCCTTGCCGTATAGGCTCGCACACCCCCCCACCCCCGTCCTAGGGAGCCAGGGTTGTTTCTCAAATGGAAAAATCACTGGGAAGTCCAATGGGCAGAGGCCGCTGACATCCAACCTGAACCCACTTCAGGTTGGCCAAGGACACAGGGGCTGGTGTAACTTGCCAGGCACGTACACCGGCCAGTGCCACCCTCGGCTGCTCTCAAAATCACTGAGACAGGCACTAAGGGCGCTGGGGGGGGGGGCCGCGGGGCGCGAGGGCAGAGCCTGAAGGGCCACTTGCTGGGGCAAGGCAGGGCGGGGCGGGGCGGGGCAGGGGGTTTGGAGGCTGGGAGAGGGGTGAGTCCCTGGTTCCGACCACAGCCAGGAGACAAGGAAGGACCAACAGAGACAGCAGCTTCCCAGGCGAGAGATCCCAGGGCTGGGCCCAGAGAGGCCCTCCTGGGCGTCAGGATGTAATGCCAAAGCAGGGGTACAACAAATTCAAGAGCTGGAAGGTTCTAGGAAGCCCCTGGCCCCTCCCTTTCCTCTCTTGGACGGCTCTCCCAGGCCAGCCTCATAACCCTCCTTGGAAGGGCAGGATGAGAAGGGCCGGCCCACAGCGCGCCCAGTGAAGATTCTGCCCTGGTTTCTCTCCCACGCAGCCCCGGGAGAGGACGACGTGCCGTCGACCCCAAGTCCCACTGAGCCCCCTGAAGCCCTGCCCCGCCTGGGGACGCTGACGGTGACCGAGGCGACCCCGGACTCCTTGCGCCTCTCCTGGGGTGTGGCCCGTGGGCCCTTTGACTCCTTTGTGGTCCAGTACGAGGACGCGGAGGGCCAACCCCAGGCTCTGCTTGTGGACGGAGACCAGGACAAGGTCCTCGTCTCAGGGCTGGAGCCCAGCACGTCCTACACGTTCTCCCTCTATGGCCTCCGCGAAGGGACGCGGCATGGGCCCGTCTCTGCAGAGGGCACCACAGGTGGGCCAGGCCTGGGCTACTCCAGTCGCCTGGGGGGGGGCTAGGAAGGGAAGGGAAGGGTGGGAGGCGGCGTCCAGGAGCGGCTGCCCCAGGGAAGGCACAAGGAGGCACCCCAGGAATTGCTGGGACGGCTCAGTCGCTTACCCTTACACGGCTCCTCCTTTCCTCCCACGACAGGCCACTGAACGCCCCCCCCCCCGTGGCTCTGTTCCCCACTTAGCCCAACTTTTCTGTCCCGTAGGACCAGGGTGGGGTGACAGAAAGCTCCAAGCCCTAGGGCCGGTAAGCATCTGTGTCTCCAAAGCCTTTTCTCCTACCCACAGGTCCGGTTCCTGCCGGCCAGACCCCAGGGGACCCGGGCCCCCGCCTGTCCCAGCTGTCGGTGACAGATGTGACCACTAGCTCTCTGCGGCTGAGCTGGGAGGCCCCGCTTGGGGCCTTTGACACCTTCCTGATCCGCTTTGGAGTCCCCTCGCCAAGCACCCTGGAGCCCTACCCTCGTCCTCCGGCCCAGCGAGAGCTGACGGTGCCGGGGACACAGCGCTCGGCTGTGCTTCGGGACCTGCATCCTGGGACCCTGTACGGCCTGACTCTGTACGGGCTGCGTGGGCCCCACAAGGCAGACAGCATCCAGGGCACCGCCCGCACCCTCAGCCCAGGTGAGGGCCCACGCCGGGCACCGAAGGGAGAGCATTGTGCTTCTAGAGTGGAGTCCAGCGTGCAAAGGGGGCCTTGGGGGAAATGGGAGGCCTTGAAGGCGCCTAGAGAGTGACTTCCGTCCTGGGGACCTGCCCGAGAGGGACCGCGGCCTCTCTCTGGAGCCCAGGGAGGTAGAGCGGGAACCTGCGTATCCACACTCTCATCCCTGCACCCCTCACCCCCTTACCATCCTCAGTTCTGGAGAGCCCCCGTGACCTGCAATTCAGTGAAATTGGGGAAACGTCAGCCAGAGTCGACTGGGTGCCACCGCCATCCAGGGTGGACAGCTTCAAAATTTCCTACCAGCTAGCAGATGGAGGTGACGGGTCCCTTCCTCCCACGTCCCCCTTAGCTCTCTCTTCTCTTGCCCTCCCGCGCACACGCCCACCCTCTAGGCTGCTCTCAGACCCCCTGGGTGACCCCCAGGCTCCACCCATGTTTGCAGGAGAGCCACAGAGCATTCTAGTGGACGGCCGGACCCAGACCCAGACCCTCCAGGGGCTGACCCCAGACGCTCGCTACGAGGTGACCGTGGTCTCCGTCCGTGGCTTTGAGGAGAGTGAGCCTCTCACAGGCTTCCTGACTACGGGTAATACAGACTGCCCCCGGCACCAGGAGGGGTGGAGGGAGGGAGCAAAGCTGCTGCGGTGAGGGGGGGGGCAAGGGAGACCCCTGGGGCTCCACGGAGCAAGGAGGCCATGGGGTTGGGAGACTTGAGGGTTGGGGGCAGCAGCAGCGGCGGCGGCGGGGACGCCTCTGAGCTCCCGGCTTCTCCCAGTTCCCGACGGCCCCACCCAGCTGCGTGCGCTGAACTTGACGGATGGGTCCGCCCTCCTGCACTGGAAGCCCCCCCACAAGCCCGTGGACCAGTACAACGTCCAGGTCGCGTCGCCTGGGGGTGAGCACGGCTGAGCCTCCTCCGAGGAGGACTTGTCCAAGGCGGGGGAGGGGGGCGCGGGGAGAGCAGGGGACAGCGTGCAGGGGCAGGAGCTGACGCCACACCCCCACACACACTCCCAGCCCCACCCCTGCAGGCCTCAGCACCGGGCAGCGCTGTGGACTACCCGCTGACGGACCTGGCGGTGGACACCAACTACACAGCCACCGTGCGCGGTCTCCGGGGTCCTAACTTCACCTCCCCAGCCAGCATTACCTTCACCACAGGTTAGATGGAGCCGGGGTGTGTGTGAGGGGGTTGGGTCGCAGGAGGTTCCCAGGGACGGATTATGGGCTCACCTGCGTCTTCCGACGTCCTCCCCCAGGGCTGAAAGCCCCCCAGGACTTAGAGGCCAAGGAAGTGACCCCTCGCACGGCGCTGCTCACTTGGACCGAGCCCGAAGTCCCACCCACAGGCTACCTGCTCAGCTATGACACCCCCGGAGGACAGATCCAGGTACCCCGCCGCTCCTGCCTCACTGGCCCATCTGCTTTCCATCGCCAGATTTGGGGCGCCGCCTCTGGCCCTGCCAGTGAATCTCCGCGTCGCCCTCCACTGACCCAGTGTGTCCCTTGTCTGTCTCCAGGAAATCCTGCTCCCGGCGGGGACCACCTCACACCGGCTCCTCCGGCTCTTCCCCTCCACCTTCTACAGTGCCCAGCTCCGGGCCGTTTGGGGCGAGAGCCTCACGCCGCCCGTGTCCACTTCCTTTACTACTGGTACTGAGGCTGGGGCCCGAGCGTAGGTGGGCAGCTGGGGTCTGAGACTTGGGAAAGACTCCCCGCCTCCTCCCTGCAGGTGGGCTGCGGATCCCCTTCCCCCGGGACTGTGGGGAGGAGATGCAGAACGGGCCCAGCGCCTCGAGGGCCACCACCGTCTTCCTCAACGGCAACCGAGAGCGGCCTTTGGATGTGTTTTGTGACATGGAGACTGATGGAGGCGGCTGGCTGGTGGGTTGCGCTCAGAGCCCAAGTACCCACCCGTGCAGCACGGGGACGGACTGCCCGGGAGCTGGAGGCTAACGCCGCCCCCCCCCCCCCTGCCTGCTTTCCAGGTGTTCCAGCGCCGCATGGACGGACGGACGGACTTCTGGAGAGACTGGGAGGAGTACGCCCAGGGGTTTGGGAACGTCTCCAGGGAGTTCTGGCTGGGTCCGTGCCTCGCAGGGCTGGGGGGGCCAGGGAAGGGATGGCAGTCCTGTGGACCCCAGGACCCTGACAAACAGCGCTCCCCACCCCCAGGCAACGAGGTCCTACACAGTCTGACACAGGCTGGAGACTACTCGATGCGCGTGGACCTGCGGGCTGGAAGTGAAGCTGTGTTTGCCCAGTATGACTTTTTCCGGGTAGACTCAGCAGCGGAGAACTACCGTCTACACCTGGAGGGCTACCACGGCACCGCAGGTGAGGGTGAGCCCGGGGCAGGGTGGGGTGGGTGGGGCAGGCGTGAGGACGGTCCTCACCACACCCTCCCACGCCCTGCCAGGCGACTCTATGAGCTACCACAGCGGCAGCGTCTTTTCCACCCGTGATCGGGACCCCAACAACTTGCTCATCCCCTGCGCTGTCTCCTATCGTGGGGCTTGGTGGTACCGGAACTGCCACTATGCCAACCTCAACGGGCTCTATGGCAGCACGGTGGACCACCAGGTGAGGGCCGTGGAGGCAGCGGGCTGGGCTCTGGGTCGCGCGGGCTGGGGACTCTCACTCGGACGGCCGAGCCTTGCAGCCCCAGAGGCTCAAGCGTGAAATGGGACAATGACCGACCTCACCGGGGAAGCCTGGAGACTGTTTATTTAGCGGGCGCAAGGCACCAGCTCGGGATGGAGCCTCAGTCCTCTGCATCAGAGGGTCAGGCAGGGAGCGAGAGGGAGGTGGGGGGGTCCCCGGGGGGTTCCCTCGCAGGAGCAGGGTGGGGGTGAGTGAGGGGCCCGCAACCGATGTGCTGCTGGCTTTGACTCTCCTCCCTCGACAACCGTCTCTCCTCAGGGAGTGAGCTGGTACCACTGGAAGGGCTTCGAGTTCTCGGTGCCCTTCACGGAAATGAAGCTGAGACCCAGAAACTTCCAGGCCCCCACCGGGGGCAGCTGAGCCCCGCCTGCCGCCCAATTCGCTCACACTTGCCGAGCACTGAGGGGTCGAGCCCGGAGAAGAGCCAGTGTGCCTCTACTGCCTGGCTCGCCGAGGAAGCCTTCTCTACCGCGACCTCACAGCACCATGTTTACAGGGGGGGGAGGGAGGGGAGGGGTTCGCGACGGAGCAATAAAGGAGAAACTGAGGCACAAGGCTGGCACTGGTCCTGTCCCGTCAAGGGCTCTGGCCCTGGTCTCGGGGCGCCGGCCTCCTGGGCTGCAGCCGCACCCGGAAGGGGTGAATCAAGAGGTTGACGCCGGCGTAACTCTGGGGCTTCAGGGAGGGCAGGGCGCCATCCGCTGGTGGCAGCAGCGTGAAGGCCTGCAGCAGGCGCGCCAGTATCACAAAGAGCTCCAGCTGCGCCAGAGGCTCTCCCAGGCACACGCGTGCCCCACAGCCAAAGGACAGGCTCCTGGGGCTCCTGCCGGGCTCCAGGAAGCGATCTGCGGGCAGTTAACACACAGCTAGGGAAGTGCGTCCCGGCTGAGGCCCAGGGCTCTTCCACTCCCGCGCCTGACCCCCATGTACCAGGCCAGAACTGGCTGGGCAGCTCCCAGACGGTCTCATCCAGGTTGGCACCTTGGATGTTGGGTATGATGATCGTGTCCTTGGGGACGTCGTAGCCAGAGATGCTGAAGGAAGATGGAGTCAGAGGCCGTGCTGGTCCAGGACCGGGCCGGGGGAGGGGGGAGGGCTGCAGGAGGAGGGGCTGCAGCGGGGGGAGGGGCTGCAGGGGGAAGGCTGCAGCGGGGGGGGGGCTACAGGGGAGGGGCTGCAGGGGGAGGGGCTGCAGGGGGAGGGGCCTCCTCACTCAACCCTTGACCCGGGGAGTCACCTGCTAGCTCTGGTGGTGCGATGGGGCAATGCCAGGGGCACCGCCGGCCGCAGCCGCAGCACCTCGGCGATAGTGGCGGTGAGCAGAGGCAGCTGCGCGCGGTTCTTGTACAGGATCTGGGAGCCGGAGTCACTGGGGCCCAGCTTGAGGTCTAATTCTTCCTGCAGTCGCTTCTGGATCTGAGAAGCCAGAAAGGGGGCAAAGCTGGGGTCTAGGGACCAGGCTTTGCCCTGGGTAGCTCACAGGCCGCCCAGCTTTCAGCGCCTCCATCCAGCCTCTTAGCTGAGCCTAGAGCGCCCCCCCCCCCCCCGCCCCCGCCTCTGTGAGCATAGCTAGCCCGGGCCAGGCGGGTCAAGGGTCGAGAGCAGAGCAGCGGGAGGGGCCAAGAAGCTTCAGACGCCTCCCATAGCGCACCTCGGGGTGATGAAGCAGGAACGCCACGGCCCAGGAGAGCGTGGTGGCTGTGGTCTCGGTGCCACCGATGAAAAGGTCCACCACAGACATGTGCACGTGCCCTTCGTGAAGCTGTCCCTCACCCTTGTCCTCCCTTAGCTGCTCCATCCCCTGAAGCATGTAGTCGATCATGTCGTTCCACTGGCCTGCCACCAGGCTGTCCTGCCGAGGGCAGGGGAAGCAGACTGAGTGTGAGCTCAGGGAGGGAAGAAGCCCGCCCAGCGGCGGTGAGGGGGCAGCGGGTGCATCAGCGGCTTAGGCCAGGGGAGCCAGGCCCCGCCCCCCCACGCCCCGGCAGCGCCTACCTGGTGCCGCCAGTCCCCGCCCCCGCCGCGCCCCGCCCCGCCCCCGCAGCGCCTACCTGGTGCCGCCAGTCCCCGCCCCCCACGCCCCGTCCCCGTCCCCGTCCCCGCAGCGCCTACCTTGTGCAGCTTCAGTTGCTGCCTTACAATGTGGTCCCTATGCTCTTGGAACCGCTTCAGCTTCCAGAGGCCAGGATTGGGGAGGAACTGGTACAGGAAGGGGAGTCAGCTTCCGGATGGATGGAGACCAGTCACCCCCACCCCACCCCGCCCCGCCCCAGCCCAGGGGAGCCCGGGCCGCGCTTCCTCACCCTGAGAAAGGGCATTATATCCAAGATTTGGACGGACCAGTGGCTCCAGGCTTGCATCAAGTCCTGGACGCAGCTGTGGACGGTGTGGACCAAGGTGACATCCTGCCAGAGCAACGGAGGGCACGCTTTGAGTTCAAGACCGGCGAAGGGTCCGGAGGGGCCGAGGGATGGGGGCCCTGCCGGACGGGGGGGCAGCCTTGACCTTGTCTCCGAAGGTGAGGCAGCAGATGATACCGCAGGTGAGAAGAGAGAATTCCTTGTGGATGTCCACGGGGGTGCCGGCCTGGGCCCTCATGTGCTGCAGAAGAGAGACAGGCTACACGGGCTGTGGAGAGAAAGGGGTGCCAGGGGGCGGGGCGGAGGGGTGGAGAGAAAGGGGTGCCAGGGGGCGGGGCGGGGGCTGTGGAGAGAAAGGGGTGCCAGGGGGCGGGGCGGGGGGTGGAGAGAAAGGGGTCGGGGGGGGGCTGTGGAGAGAAAGGGGTCGGGGCGGGGGGGCTGTGGAGAGAAAGGGGTGCCAGGGGGCGGGGCGGAGGGGTGGAGAGAAAGGGGTGCCAGGGGCCGGGGGCTATGGAGAGAAAGGGGTGCCAGGGGGCGGGGGCGGGGGTGGAGAGAAAGGGGTGCCAGGGGGCGGGGGCGGGGGGTGGAGAGAAAGGGGTGCCAGGGGGCGGGGGGCGGGTTTCTAACCCCAGGAGGGCCAGGCCACAGAAGTGCAGCCTTACCTCGCAGAATTCCTGGGTCAGCTGCTCCACCAGGGGCTCCATGGAGCCTCGCATGCCCAGCATCAGAGCTGAACGAGAGAGTTTCTTGTGGGTCCTCCACGTGGAGGAGTAGTCCCCTAGTGACAGGTCCAACTCCAGCTTTTCTGTAGCAGGCACGGTGGAGAGAATGGCGACTAAGGTTGGGGAGGCGTCAAAGGCCTGGCCCTCCCTCCACCCCCCGGTCCAGGGAAGTGGCCACACCAGGTGTATCTTCGTGGGTTTGAGGCCAGCCTCGTCTACATAGTGATTTTCAGGCCAGCCAGGGCTACAATAGTGAGGCCCTATTTTAAGAAGGAAAGGAAAAGGGGGAGGCCTTCAACCCTTACCATACGGTATCGGAGGTCGGCCAGCAAAGTCCGCCCATTTTTTGATCAGGGCCTCCTTAATGGCGCTGTTGGAATTCAGCACCACCACATCTGTGGAGAGAGGGGGGATCGGCAGGGTCAGCAGGAAGGGACACGGGCCCAGGGGCAGGAAAAGCTGCCTCACCTTGCAGCCCCATGCGGATCCTGTAGATGGGCCCGAGTTTCCGAGAGAGGCCAAGAAGGTGGATGGGGAGGTTAGGCTGCAGAAAGTGCAGGAACCCCGGGGCCAGAGGCGGGAGGCGGAGGTTCGAGACTTTCCGGCGGCCCCGCAGCCAGCGGGCGCCAGCCACCAGCAGCAGGAGCAGCAGGAGCAGCAGGAGCAGCCACAGCCCAGGTAGCACCATGGCGGGGGACACTTGTACGCAGCCACCCTGACATGGCTTTTTGTAGCTCTTGGCCCCAGCCATCCATCAGGCCACTGACGCTGGCCTTTATCAGCCTCGGGTCCCACATTCAGAGCCCTGCGTTTTTTTTCCAGACTGGCACCGTCCCACCGGCCTTGGAGATCGGCGGGGACCGGAGATGGGACCATCCATCAGGAAGAAAGGGTGAGGCGCTCGGAACCCTGACCTTTCTGTATCACCACCAGTTCCCTGGCTCTTTGTGACTCATGTGGGTGAGGGGGTCCACCCTGAGCTGTCCCCTCCCTCCCACCCACCATGCCTCTCACCTTGGACCCGCTGAGTGGGGAGAATTTGTCCCAGAGGAAGGAAACAAATGACAGTCTCTGCCCCGTAGGCTTTTCGGGTTTGCCTGTAGTCCCTACAAGCATTGTTACTGTTGTTATTGTTATTCATTATTATTATTACTACTACCACTTAATTTTTGTGATACCGGTGACTGAACCTAGGACCTTACACATTCCGGGTGAGCCCTCCCCCCTCCCCTTTCCCCTCCCTATATGGCCTCTTTCAATGTCAGGAAAGTCTACAGGGAGATGCGGTGGTTCCTGTAATCTCAGCACTGAGGGGGACAGAGGCAGCAGGACTGAGTCTGAGGTCAGCCTGGGCTACATAGCAAGACCCTGTCTCAGAAGAGACAAGGCTAGGAAAGGCTCTGCTGATGCTTACCTCGCACGGAGGCCCCAGGTTCTTTTGTTTGTTTGTTTGTTTTGTTTTTTGTTTTTTGAGACAGGGTTTCTCTGTTTTGTTTTGGAGGCTGTCCTGGAACTCGCTCTGTAGACCAGGCTGGCCTCGAGCTCACAGAGATCTGCCTGTCTCTGCCTCCCAAGTGCTGGGATTAAAGACGTGCGCCACCAACGCCCGGCTGAGGCCCCGGGTTCTTATCACCACACAGAAAAGTGTCAGGAGACAAGAAACCACGGTGGGCCCGCCCCACTTTGAAACAATGTGTCCCAGACACTCTCCTAACTTTGCTCCCTGCAGCCAAGGCTACACTGTTGTCGCAGTTTTGTTTTTTTAAATGAAGATGCTTGGGCCAAGGCTGGCTTGTGTGTATGTGTGTGCGCGCTCGCGCAGCTGCAGAATCGGGCTCCAGCAGGCAGCCAGGGAAGAATCTATAACTACCAGCAGCTGCTGCCCTCCTTGACAACAAGAACAACAAAAAATGACCCACTGCCAGGCGGTGGTGGCACACACCTTTAATCCCAGCACTCGGGAGGCAGAGGCAGGCGGATCTCTGTGTTCGAGGCAAGCCTGGTCTACAGAGCGAGTTCCAGGACAGCCTCCAAAACAAAACAGAGAATCCCTGTCTCGAAAAACAAAAAACAAGCCGGGCGTTGGTGGCCACCCCTTTAATCCCAGCACTCAGGAGGCAGAGGCCGGCGGATCTCTGTGAGTTCGAGGCTGGGCTGGACCGACAGCCTCCAAAACAATACAAAGAAACCCTGTCTCGTAAAAACCAAAACCAAAAAAAAAAAAAAAAAAAAAGACCCACTGAGCTGACTTAAAGAAAGAAAGAAAGAAAAAAAGCCAGATGGTGGTGGCACATGCCTTTAATCCCAGCACTCAGGGAGGCAGAGACAGGAGTTCAAGGCCAGACTGGTCTGCAGAGTGAGTTCCAGGACAGCCAGGGCTATGCAGAGAAACCACCATCTCGAGAAAAGAAATCACCATAGGTGTGCATGGAGTCTCGGAGAGCCTGTGACTCGGAAAGGAGAAGAGGGGTCCTTGCTGGCCTTGTAGACCATAGGTCAGGGATGGGAGGCAGAAAAGGGCCTACTGTGTGCTCTTCCTCTCTCTTTACCGTTTAGCCTCCTGTGTTTTAGGCACAGGAAGAACAAAGCTGCCTTGAGGGTCAGGGCCCACGGGTCACAGAAGCAGCTGGGGAGAAGATGGACCCCCAGGGTGAGGAAGACAGTCTACCAACCCGGGCCTCCCTAGGAGGGAGCTGGGCAGACGCATCTGGTTCAGGAGTTATAGCTGTAAGAGATAGGTTTCCCTTGGGACCAGATCAGGGCCCTCATAGGGGGACAATGGGGAGCCTAGCAGAGTATCTGGGGAGAGACTATTCCAAAGAGGAGCTGTGTGAGAAGCTAGCTCCCCATCCCCAGTTTTATGGAGAGACCCCAGGTGAAGGGGTCCATCCCCACTCCCACGATTTACCCAAAGCACAGAGAGTGCAGCATGAGAACGCAGGTGAGAATCTGGCTGTGCCACCCAAAGCCGGGTGACCTGACAGCTGGCAGTGCTTGTGGCAGGGGCCCAGGCTTAGCCTGAACCCCTGGCCTTGCCCCAGGAGATGGGAGGGGTGGGATTTCTGGGGCTAGGCGGTAAGAGCATCATCGTCTCCTGTGGGTGACACAGGCCACAACTAAACCCTGCTCTGGTGACTGGTTTGGGGGAAATAGATGCAGATGTTAAGAGACCCAATGTTGCTGGGCGTTGGTGGCGCACGCCTGTAATCCCAGCACTCGGGAGGCAGAGGCAGGCGGATCTCTGTGAGTTCGAGGCCAGCCTGGTCTACAGAGTGAGTTCCAGGACAGCCTCCAAAGCTACAGAGAAACCCTGTCTCGAAAAAACAAAAAGAGAGAGAGAGAGAGAGAGAGAGAGAGACCCAATGTTGTAAAATACTGAGAAAGACCAGAACACCTCCAAAGTCCCCAGTTGATGGGGTGACTAGGAGCCTGGCAGCTGCGAAGGCCCCTCCTGAAGTCTCTGCTTACCTCAGCACCCTTCCCACACCTTCAAATATAAACTCCAGCAATGGTTAAGTTTCGGGGTCCCAAAATATGCTGTGTTCTGCCCCCAGCCTCTGTGTACTTCCCTTTCTTTGTTGGAAACTCCCTGATCTTTATCCTCTTTGCCCAACCCCAGCTTCCAAACACAGACTATCCCACCCAGCCTGCCGGGGAATTCCTATAATTTCAGGGGAGCCAAAGGATCAGGAATTCAGGGTCAGTGTTGGCTGGGTAAGGCCTGTCTCAAAAATTCAAAAATCATTTAGGAATATGGTTCAGTCGGCCAAGTGCTTGCCTGGTGCAGCCCTGGGTTCCATTCCCAGGGCTGCAAAATCACTGGTGTGGTGATCTGTGTGGTGACCTCAGAACTCAAGTGTGGAGGCTCCGTGCCAAGTCTGAGGCCAGCCTAGGACACATGAGACCATGTCTCAAAACAGCAAACAAACAAACAAACAAACAAATAACCCTCGGGAAACACTCCATGCCCCTCTAGTGCTCTCCTCGCTGGGTCTAGGTCATCTCACCTCTCCCAGGACACAGAAACTACCTAGTCCATTTCTGTCTCCCAGTTATAAGCTCCTGGAATGAGCAGCTATGGGACTGGTACCAATCACGGGGCAGAGCAAGAAACGACAGGCCATGGATCTCTGTGGAATGATCCAACGACAGATTTGTCTGACCTCAAGAAATTTCCGTGGGTAGAATTCTAGGTCGCCCATGAATAACTGAAGGTGCCACCAAGGTTGGGGAAAGCTAGGCAGACAGGGTGGGGAGGTTGCTGTGTGTCCTGTGTGTGTGTGTGTGTGTGTGTGTGTGTGTGTGTGTGTCTGTGTCTGTGTGTGTGTGTGTCTGTGTGTGGGTGTCCCGTGAGATATGTTTCCCCTTGAGTATTTCAGGAACTGCTGGGATCCTGTACCATTTATTACAGAAGTAACTTAATATTCTAGGTATCAACCCACCAGAATTAACTTCTAAATTTACTGGGTGCTTTAGATTCTCAAAAAGGCCCCAGAGAAAGGAAGTGAGGCACTTGACTTTCTCAAGATCATACCTGTCCTGGCTGAGAGGTACGCACGCCCTATTGTCAGAGTGGTTAAGTGTGCCTGTGGCTACAAAAACTGGAAGCCTTGTGGGATAGGAGAGACCTCAGGAGAACTTTTAGAAGAAGAAACTTTTGGAGACTTTTAAGAAAGAACTTTAGAGAATTTTTAAGAACTTTTAGAAGAAATCTGAAGAGAGCTTTTGAGAGAGAACTTTTTTGGGAGGCCTCCATCCTTGAAGAATAAAGAGCCATGAGAGGAATGTGTGTGAGCCGACTTCTTCCCCTCTCAACCTCAGACTCCTTTTAGAAAAACCCTACCCGCCTGCTGTCTAGCCCCTAGCTCGACCCTGAGAGAGCATCGAGGCTGGAACAAGAATGCTCTCATTAAGGACAACACAGTCAACCTTTGCCCTGTTGAAAAATCAGTGCCCAGATGACCACCTTCATACCTAATGTTGCACAACTCCAGAAAGATTGCCTAACGCCACCGACAGCAAGGTCAACGGGCTTGCAAGAGTCTGACACAGCTCAAGCCAACAGACCCCACATCTCCAACCACAGCGTGGAGTACGTGGGATAAGTTGAGGGTGTCCCTACGGGTGAAGTGACCGTGCCGCCAGGTGATAGGGTCCTTGGGGCACTGGCTGTTGGCCCCAAGATGCACTGCATCCTAGAGATACCTCAAGGGGGGTTCAGGAGGGTTCAGGCAGAGCTTTACAGCCCAAAGCTCCCCCGAGACTCCGAGTCCAAGATGCTACAACCCTGGCCAGGGCCCACAAGACCTGGGTGGCAGGCGACTGCCGCACCCACGGACAGACACGCAGGGACGCTTTGCTGCCGAAAGCTTTTATTTATGCCTGACCCTTGGGCTGACTTCCGGGGTCACACCTGGCACCCCTGGCTGCTGTACTCCTGGATGAAGTCCTTCAGCTGTGCGCAGGCTGCCCGCTGGCGGGTGCTCCGGCACAGGCGTTCTGAGGGCATCTCCTCGATCCAGCTATTGGAGTCCAGGAGGTACTGAGGGCTGCGAGTGACACAGCGGAGGGGGGGGGGTCAGGGTGGACATGGAAGGCGCTTGGCTTTGGAGGGGCAGAGCTGGGTGCCTAGAATCTGTCCCCGGAGGAAGGTCACAGGTATGAGGAGAGCAATGGATGGCGGGGCCGGGTGACTCACTCTCCCTTG